ATGTTACTGATGCTCTTATATAAGTTTTTTCATAATTATTTAATAAAGGTACAAAAATTTTGTCAATAAAAGCCACAAATAGCGTAAAACCGAACGTTAAACATAATTATAATTTAAGACACAGTTTCTTTGTTTGCTCTGCTAATAGTCTCCAGCAAAAAAAAAACATGTTTAAAGATATTACGAAATCAAAAAAATCTTGACACAAAATACATACAGGGTGATTTAAAAGTGTCGGACCACTTCTTGGGTGGACATTTAACTGAGTTAAAAGTTCCTATGATAAAAGATTGTTTGAGTTTTTTTTACACGAGACATAGCTCTTCAAAGATTAGATTTTGGGTTAAGTTTTTGGCTGGAAACGACAGATCTTGTAAGACTGAACTGATATCTGTTAAACAAATCACCAATTTGTGTCTTATGGTGTAAAAAACATTAAACAAACTAGTAAATGCAATATACAGGGTGATTCTTAAATAGACCGACAAAATTTTATAATCCGTGCTACTTACGGCGTTTATGAATTGTTGCAATGATCAACTACATTTTCATCACATTAATACCATGGTTTCCACTACCTGTGCTAACACATCAGTGGCGTACGCTTTACTTCGAAAATAACTTTAATAAATTTTATTTGGAGAACGTTTAAACAAAGAATTTTTTAAATATTTTTTTCCAGCATGTTCTCATTTGATACTACCAAGGATAAAATTTTGTCGGTTTATTTAAGAATCACCCTGTATATGTATAATGCAATAATAAATTAAATGTATCAACATTGGAAACAAAAAAAAATACAGTTATTTTTTTAAAAAAAGCGTGAAACAAACAAGAGTCAGAATTCGTTTTTATATGTTTAGCTGAAAGTCTTCTATCACCATTCGAGAGTTAGCCCGACACTTTTGGATCACTCTGTATATATTTTGAATTGTGTCACTGATATTAGGATATTATACAGGGTCTTAAAAAAAGATTGTAAAATATTTAAGGAGGTAAAAGTATGGACCAAAATAAACAAAAAAGTTTTAATAAACATGGGTCCACAAAGTAACGGTTTTGGAGATATCGAATGTGAAAATTCTTACGATTTGTCTGAACAGATTGCAAGTAAATGTTTCAAAAAAACGAATAATTTTCGATATCTCCAAAATGGTTATTTTGCGGACCTATGTTTATTATAACTTTTTTGTTTGATTTACATGTATTATTACCTCTTGAAATATTTTACAATTTTTTGGAGCAATTCGTTTCTTTTGTTATAGAATTTACTGTATTTAAACAAATTATAAGGTAAGGGTCCATTTAAAAAATGTACCTAGATTTGATTTGTCTCTCTACATCTGCCCTAGAAATAATTGAAGAAAGAAAAAAAAACAACCTTATTCTGTCATTAATTTAAAATGTTATTTTAAAAACGTAAACAGTTTGGTGTTATCTTTTTAATAAGAGTACACTTTGCTTTTTCATTCAAATGAAACAAAATGAAAATTACAAACATGTGAAATGCCCTTATGGTTGTCGTTTTGAAATAATTAAAGAGCCACTAATCAGCCACTAAATGAATATCAAATATCACCTTCGGTGATAAAAAAATTTGCATTAACTTACATAAATATTTCATGTTTTGAAGGTCGTAAGCTGGTGACTACTTCAGACTTTACCTTATTTACCTTTCGATGAGTCAAGAAATTTCATATGAAACAACATTCATCCACCCGACATTTTTCTCTAATCGAATCAAAGTACGCATTAGTCTAGAAATTACCTTGTTCTTACAAATTTTAAAGTTAAAAAAAAAATAAAAATCAAGGTATTGAATTAATGATGTGCATGACATACAATATGTGGAACAGTGTTATCTCCACGGTCTGTTGCCCACCTACAAAATGTAAATTTTTCAATTACTCAAACACCAAGTCCTCATTTGTCGAAATCCACCATGAAATTAAGAGCAGCAAAGTCAAGACCAACATAGCCGTTCTCGGCCAATGTAGGTAGGTAAGATATCGCCTGAGCAGTCACGCCAATAATAATTCGCCATCTAATTAGTTTTTTACATGCCTTTCAACTCGGTGTAAAATTCTCACCAAAATTGAAAAAAATTCTGGCAATTAGACAAATGGAAAGTTCATCCAAGAATTACGTCACGGCGGAGATAATAACGAGGTATTTATTCATCATCGCTCCTGGGGCGTAGGTATTGCAAAGTTACAATTACCTCGGTTGCAAAACACCAAACCGATCGAATGTGCCCTTAATGCCTGCTTTAATGTCAACAACAAAGTTTCTTTGACCTAAAAAGTACCAACTGAATCTACTTTGTGTAATACCTGCCAACCGCTTGCAGCGTAATGATACAATTCACCGTTATTTTTAGTGACTTTCGAGCTTTCGCTTGATTAGTGACAAAAATAACGAAATTTTCGGTATTTTTTGAACTATTGTGCCTTTGATGCAACTTTTGGTGTTGTAATAGGACTACTTTTAAACTGCTCTTAAACGCATCTTCTATTTATTTAATAAGCCATTCTATTTTATAATAATTGTATGAATTTTGTGCCAGATGGTGAGACACAGCCCTTCATGTTTTACCATAAACGGTTCTCGTGTGGGGTTTTAAGTCACTTTCTAGCGACCTTCAACATGGAAATTGATTCTCTTGGCTATTTTCATTGTATTGCTCTGAAAGGATTGCTACTGCTCCACTAGCAGTTTTAATATTCTACTTACATAATTGTACAAGTATACTTTTATCGATTTTGTCATAAAGGCTGTTCGTTATGGTCTAGTTAGGCACAATTACTTCATTCTTTTTTTAAACACATTTATTATTCATTTAATGTTCCTATTCTTATGAAAAGTTGAGTAATCTGTTATAACCGCCTTAAGTGTGGTGTCAAAACTGACCAATCTGCAAACAAATTTCATTTAACAAGGAATGATCTAAGTACTAAACCTCCTATGACAAAAAAATTACTTTACATAAAAAATAAAAATGGTTCAATAGAATTGGTCAAAGTGTTAGTTTCTCTGGAACACACTTGAATTTACAACTCTTGCCCTCTTGTAAAGCATTACTATACGCATAATTTACGTGTCAACAAAAAACTCAACCAAAGTTTTACAATGTAATGCAAGAAATATCTAGTTAATACACAATAACAGTACACATAACTATTGTAATTACATATTTTTAAATGCAATAATTGCTAGTTAACATTAATAGCAAACAATATAATTTTCAGCTTTTATTTATTAATTATGTTATTCAGAAACTATTTTTTTATCTGCTTCGCCTCTTTTTGCAAGAACGAAAAAGTAAAAAATATTTTTTATTCAAGACAACTTAAAAAAGGTATGTAGTTATCAATAGTAGTGTGATCCAATAATTTAACTGATATTGAAGAACTCGGTTTACAGCCTTCTAATTGCTCATTGTTGTAGGGATTCAAAGTAAACAAAGATGGTGATTAATCTATTTTATTCTATTTTAAAAATATATCCTAGTGAAATGATATTGTATATCAATACAATATACTTAATTTCTTAATTAATACGATTATAAGTAGCAAGTTTACTATTGTTAACAGGAGTGAGTATCTCTTCAAATAACAATCATGTTCCAGCAACCTTTACATAAAATAACAATTGTTTATTGTTTTACAAATAATGTGCTAAGGTAAGCTGTCAAAGCAATGAAATTATAAAAACAAAAAATAATAAATAATAATAATTGGCAAATCGATGTCATTAGTTTCAACAATTACATAATCGATATATGAATCAATTGTAAATTATTATAGGTATTATAGATATGCTGAATGTCATAATAATGTTGGATTGCATATAAAGTAGTGGTTTACTTTTTACAATAACTTAATAATAATAATAAGAAACTGGTTCACAACCAGCAACAAAAAATGTTTTAATCTGCAATGTCATACGATTTGATAATTTCTCGATAGGTATGTATGCATCCTTATCACTTTTTATTTTATCGTGTCTCGTCTTTTTATATCTGCAAACTGTAAGCAATTGTCATTTTGTTAAAGAACGAAAACATATTCTCTCAATAATGTGTCATTTAAATTAAAATCAGAGAACGGAAAGTTTAACGACTTTTACCCCTATTGATTTAATGGAAAATTCCCAGAGCCCGAAAAGAAATTCCTCGAAAAGTTGTGGTGAAATTTGTGAATCACTATCTAATTTTAAGAATACGCCTATAATGTTTATATATCAACCAACATGCTTTCAATTAAATTTCTGATCAAAGTGGCCTGTGACTTTGAATTAAGTTGGCAAGATTGATTGATTCAAACGTCGTATCTACTTTTTAATAGTCAATTATCATTTATTTTCGAAGAGCGGTTGCAGGCATAGCCGTCACGCGAAAAATCTAATACCATCAATAATTTAGTATTGCCAACTTAATTTCAAAGTCGCAGGCCACTTTAACCAGAAAATTAATTGAACATTATTTTTCAGTAATGATCGGTTATGTCACCCCCATTTTTTCGGGGACGCCACTGGATTTTCCAATAGCTCTACAGTCTGGTCATAATTAAAATCATATTCCACAATAATCATAAATGAAAGTAAATTCATAAAACAAAACCTGCGATTCGTAACAAATCATTACATTAAATTAAGAGCTTGCTTGAACTTACATAAAAATAAATAACTTTCACTAAATAGACTAATGTTTTTTTAAGTACGTAGTTTTTTCCAATTGTGCCTTTTTGAACCATCGTTAAGTGTACCAGTGGCCCATAAAAATCCAGCAGCGTAACTGTGCAACCGTTGTGAACATATGTCTTAATTAGGACACTGTATGCAAATCAGTGTCGCCACTTAACGGGAAACCTAAACGAACTTCTTTTGATACTAAACGCAAAAGGGCATTAAACTTATCCATTTATTTATAAATCCCCCCGACAAAATGGCATCCGATCTCATGCAACTACACAAAAAAATACATAAATTTGTCTAATTACCTTTGTGTTGCAACCCAATCTCTTCACAAATTACACGTATGCTATATAACCACACTGTAATAACATTTTTTTAGTCTTTTAGTGCACATTTTGTGATTTTTGTTTTAGTTTCTCAGACAATGCACTTGCAAAGCCTACTTTGTTGTGGTACGTTGACAGCTCGCAGGTTCTCCTGTAACTAGTCAGCTGTTTGTCAAGTTAGCCTTGGCCAAACACGAAGGGGGAAGGGAGAAAACGTGTGCGCACTCGCGCCAATTTCAAAAAAAATTCAGTCAAAATTATCGCTTTTGCCACTAAATTTCTTCATTCAATAATTAAAAACACAGTTTTGCATGGTAAATATTATAACTGAGTAGAAATAGAAAATTATTAATAGCATAAATAAGTCATTCGTTTTTATTCCCGGAAGTAATTATAATTAATTTGACCCATCCCCAGCATTGTACGACAAATGTATTGACTTTATTGCGTATTCTCTACACCTACTTATTATTTCTTCAACAAATCTTAAGTTATTTAGGAATGGACAATGAACCACGAAGTTGAGGACAATGAAATTGTTTTATTTTAGTTATTTTACAAAATTAACTTTAAGAAATAATGGTCGTTTCAGAATGTGTCACTTTTTGCCGGACTTTTTAATACCACCCCCAACCAAGGGTCCCTTTTGCGACGCCTTGGCTTTGGCCTCTTGCAACGCTTTTTGTTGTTCCTTCATTTTCTGTTTGTGGGCGACGTCCGAATCATCCATTTCTTTCTGTTCCTTTTTGGGTGCTTTGAGGGGCTTTTTCTTACCTCCTTCGCGACTGGACATACTAAAAAAGTTGAAGTTTTAATTTTTAGCTAGTGAAACATAACCTCAAATTTTCAGACAAAAAATCTAATAAATCAGTTGGATGGTTTATTAAATTAATTAAGTTTAATACCTGACAATTTTGTTAATCCACTAATAAAAGTATTATTTTTATTATTTTACAAAACTGTGTCACTGCTCTTCTGGTAACCAGTGATTTATGAAAAGCCAAACTCTGAAATCAAACATACGAAAATCCCCTAGATTTTCAAATAAAACTGCTGGTTCCTCTAATCCCTCCAAATGTCTTCTTTTTTATTAAGAGAAAGTAGGGTCATTTATTTATTAAATGCTAAACAACACATAGTGAAACTTAAATTCGATTCAATAAAAAAATACACTAAACGAGAAATTATTAATTAATACAAACTGCAAAGTTGAACATTTTTTTGTACTTATTGATCTGATGAATTTAAAAAATTATATCAGATCTGAGATGTTTACAATTAACACTGCAACTAAATGACATGGTCTAGAAACATTTGCAACATTTCAAAAATAACATCGTAGATATACATATAATTTCCAGTTCATATTGTATTCAGTCGTTTTACTACAATAATTCATTCCTGCCATCCAGTGTTCCGTTGCCGTTAGTAATGCTGATAGGTTTCCTACAAACGATATACACACTATCATATTCATACTGAAGCATAGATTTAGGATTTTGGCAATATTTTGTTTTAACGCCAGTTTTACACTTCTCCATTTCAAAACCTATATTTTTTATGACTTCACAGACAACTTCAAAGCTCGGTTCAACACTTTTCTCATTTTTTACATCAGAGTAATGATACAACAAAGGCCCCAAATTGATCCAAACACCACCTGGCTTCAAAATATGATAGATGGTTTCAATGAATTGAACCACATTAGGAGCGCAATCAATGAAGAAACAAGTCGCGACACAGTGCCATATGTCAGGATCTGTATAAACCTCCAGGAAGTCGCCAGCGGTCATTGAAAATTTACTTTCAGGAGTCGGCATTGGCTTAACATCAGGAAACCTAACAAAATTTTTAAATAATTGTTCAATTTTGTTTTAATGATTACCTAACACTTGTCATTTGATGCTTGGCGTTCAAGTTATTACAATACTGATGGATCCATGGGTAAATAGTGTATTCATCAACCTCTTTGCAGTGATTTAAAACGTAGTACGAGACAATTAGCATAAACAAATTAAATTCGTTGCCTTGGCAGGCAAAACCCCTTGTTGCGATTTCAAAAGCCAGTCGACCTAGTCCTGCCCCTGGTACCAAAACGTTGATGTTTGACCTGACAAACTTGTCTTCGGGAAACTGCAGGATGATTTCGTCGATTATTGGTTGGTAACATTGGGCTCTTTCTGCAGCCCCCAACGCGCTCCAATCTCTCATCAACTGCTTGAAGACCGATTGGACTTTGTCTAGCCCTTCAGCCAAAGTACCAACTTTAATTTCGGAATGCGAGGATCCATCGTTGCTGTAGACATTATCAAAAATTGTGTGGGCATGTTGGAGCACGATAGGGATAAATTTAGAATTTTTCTCAATGCATTCCTTGAACGCTTCCAAGTCTTCCTTGTACTTCGTAAGCCATTTTTTGTGATATGGTGGAAGAGTGGAAAGGCATTTTTGCTTATGGTCGATTCGCAACAAGGATTGCTCTCTGTAACAAATAAGACCTTGGTTAGAACAATTATTATTAATAAAATCGGTGACGTTCGCATTGCGTAGGCGCGTGTTATTCTTGGTTTAACTATTTACTTAGCAGTTCGCTGGCATGGGTTTTATCTTGGATAAATATGGGGATTAGGGCACGCATTTTCTTTGTCTCACCTGTAACTTTCAAAGGTGGAAAGGACCGACAAGAAATAAGCTTTTTCTTCTTTTGCACCGTTAATTTCTTGACTCATCTTGACGGAAGTTGCTAACTGATTCGGCTTTGATAATCACTATTTACTAATATCACATTACACGGGTTTTAAAAGTACTATTTCTACTTGCGGTGCCTATTCTAACCTAAATAACTCAACTTTGTGAACTCCAAGCGGCCATGTTCACAAATCAGGTATTTCCGCATTGCAGATTCCTACCCTACCGATTTTGCCTACCCTACCGATTTTGCCACTACAACAACAAAATACACATTTTCAAATCAAACTTAAATCAAAGGTTATGCTTCTCATTGTTTTATGCTGATTTGATATGTGTTTACTCATGTATTTACTATTGTTGATTTATTACAGCAAATAGATTAATTTGAACTTTTCCGCCAGGTTTTTTCGACTTTCGATTACAAGATGGCGCTGAATGTGTCAAAATTTTGCAAAATATCGAAGTGATAGAAACTTTGCTATATTCTCATCGCAAACAGTATATAAAATATCACACCGACAAGGTCATTTCAGTTTTGTTATGAGATAGTGTGATTCAAGTGCTGTGAGATAACTTCTGAATAAAATCACACGAGTTTTTAAGCGAGAATGAAACTGACAGCGAGGGCATGTCAAAGCATTGCAAAAATGCTGGATTTTTACTCCCAATTCAACCCGTCGCCTTTATCTATCAAGAAATTTATAGATTTTGGTAAGTTTTATAGCATAGGGAGCGGGGTTTATTTTAAATGCCCTATTTTTAAACTAGATCTAGTTGTTTAAGGTTAAGTAACTTCGATTTTCGTTTGTTAACTAGGATAGGGATTGTCTTATTGTGGTTGGCAGGAAAATCAATTTTCGATTTTCCCGGTGGAAAGTGTAGGCGGAGGCGTAGCACGTGTTCATTTCTCTTTTTATTTCAAGAATCTGATTCTTTTTAAACAGATATATATAAACGAAGATCTTTCGAGAGAACGATTGTTTTTTTACTAAGTAGGCTGTGGATACGGTCAATGATCTGCAGTCCTGCGATCAAGGACATTTCTCCTGCTGGTAAAAAACAACCGTTAATATGAAAAGTGTCTTTATTTTATAAAAATAATTGGTATTAATTCATCTATCTAATGATTGGTTATTATACTAATTAAACGTGACTGTTTCATCATAATTAATATCCAATATACGATTTTAAAAAAAATGAGAATAAAAAAAATGTATGTACAGTTGGAGACAAAATACTTTGGTCATCAATGTCACTTGAGTGACATCAAATTGTAAAGCATGCTTTAGGACTGTAAACTTTATTTTTAGCACCTGTCAATCATAGTTGACAAGTTGTATGTACATATTTTTGATAGGAATATAATAGTTGTCATTAATTTGAAATTGTCATTCATTTTAACGTTAAAGCTTGAATTACATTAAACTGTCAGAAAAGTGACGACCAAAGTATTTTGTCTCCAACTGTACGAGATTCGTTTTTGGTTTCTTTTTCGGTATTCAAAATACCTACAAAGCAAATTAATATTAAGGGAGGTGCAGGGAATAAAGTATCTTCTTGCACAAAAAGTGTTGAAACATGTTTCGGGCACTAACTAATCCCATCTTCAGTCTAGATTGTTAATAACAAAATGCATATAAATTTATGAAGATTGCAATAACATTTTAAAAATTTTTCTAAAAAAGTAAAAGTGATCGTGGAAGTGAAGCTTCCTCGATCACAACATTAAAACAAATTTGCTTCACTTTTTTGTGAAAAAAACTATTCCCTGTACCTCCCTTGAACCACATAAACTTGCACTTTGTACCCACTCATGGAATCCTTTTATTATAAATTAATTTTACTCAAAAATAAAAAAATAAATCGTTTCAGGGCTTTTTATTTTTTGCCTTTTAATTTTTAATATGGAAGAATTAATTCTATTTTATTTTAAAATAAAGTGAAATTTTACTGCGCGTTTGGTATTGTTTTATTTATAAATAGGAATGATGAGTAAAATCTGTACGATGCCACAAAAAGCAATATGTTGTGGTAGTTACGACCTGTTAGAACTCAAGTACAAGTTTGTTTAATGTTATTTTCCAGTTTGTAAAATCCCTGACAATTTATCATCAACTTATGCTCTTTTGTACTTTTTTAAATTTAATAATTTACTCTTATATTATAATTATTATTAATGGTAATTCTAAGCATAAATGTTATAATAGCAATAACAGCACTTTCTTTTTGTCAAAATCTCATCTAGTGTTGTAATTAATTGAATTCGAAACAGATAATTATTATAAAGCCGAAACGAAGTGACATGGCATACATATATTCAAACAAATTACTTAATTATGAATAAAAAATAGTAGATTATGTACTATTTTAGTAACATATTTGATGATGTTATTATGTGTTGCTTTGATATAATGTAAAAAATATGATTTTATTTTTATGTAGAACGCATTTTGACCTATGGCGAACTGTTGTGTAAGTCATTTCGATAAGAAATCGTTGACTGTTGATCAATAAAAATACAAGTCAAGCTTGTTTCTTTACTTGTGTAAAAGAATATACAAGCTGCGCCAGAACTCACGTCCCAGAGAAAAATGCCATGTAAGATAAGATACAAGGAACATGAAAAACTGTTAAAAAAATTCTGTCTATAAAAATTTCGAAGTTATGAGAGTTTAAATTTTGCACTTTGATTCTATTTATTTCTGTTGGAAAAATAATTTTTTAAGTTTTTTTGCTACAGACTTAGAAGAGGAAACAAGGAAGCTGTATTCTAAATTGTAACTCTGTTATTTGTGGCATTTATTGGTAATTTTTTTTTGTACCTTTACTAAATGATTATAAAATAAAAAACATACACAAGATCACCAGTATCATTAAATAGACATAAAAAAGTGTAAAATGTAAAAAAAAATTGACAGAATTTTTTAAACATTTTTTCCATATTCCTGAGATATTTTAACTTACTTGAAATTTTTCTCTGGGTCGAATTCTGATACATTTAATTTTGACGTAAATTTGATGTTTGTACGAAATACTCACGGAATTACGAGTATGTGATAAAGGTTATGACTTATGTCGTACGTTTTCAGTCCTATTGATCATTTTAAGCTGGTCTTTATTAGATTACGATTTAGAATAATATTTATAAGTGTGACACTAGAATTTATTATACAGGGTGATTCTTAAATAGACCGACAAAATTTTGTCACAGCTTTCGAAGGATAAATGGAAATAATCTGTACCCTTTTTACGATGATATTTTTTAGGGGCAGAACCCCCTTGATCCGTGCCACTTACGGCGTTTATGAATTGTTGCAATGATCAAGTACATTTTGATACCATGGTTTCCACTACCTGTGCGATCAAAAAGTCTGTCTATCAAGCAAGCGTAGAAATTTAAAACGTATGTCTGTGGAAGAAATGTCACAATGACAAATGAGAAATGTCAAAATATTTTTTATGTAAATTATGACAGGAAACCGTGGTAAACGATTTTTATGAATAAACACCAACAAAATCTTATTTTAGTTTGTTTTAAGACGTTTCATAGAATAATTCAATTAGCTCAATATTTTAATTTTTATAAAATAATTTTTTGACATCTAGATAACATACGAACTGCCATGCAACATACGTCCTCAACTAGGACGCCTACTTGATAGAAAGACTTTTTGATCGCACTGTATTTACGAACACATCAGTGGCGTACGCTTTACCTGGAAAATAACTTTAATAAATTTTATTTGGAGAACGGTTAAACAAAGAATTTTTTGAATATTTTTTCCAGCATGTTCTCATTTGATACTACCAAGGATAAAATTTTGTCGGTCTACTTAAGAATCACCCTGTATTGTTCCAAAATGTTGAATAAAGTTCGAGGAGTTGCAGCGTAAAATCAAAAAAATAAATAAATTGAGATTTTAATATAAGATAAGATTTTAATGTTCTGTTTTTAGTGTTTTAGCTTTTTAGCGAACTCCAGTTTTAAAAAGACTATTTGGTCGATCGACTTCTGGTATGGGTAAAAATATGTATTGCAATTTTCTAGTACGAGTAAATTTTTGTAACAACATAGTACTCTGTATCTATTTTTTTATAACAAATAAATGTTTTCTTTTTATGATACAACATGCAATTTGATAAGAGCAATTGAACATTGTTCGGAACCCTACAGTAAACTTTGTGTTTCTAGAATTCCCACTGCCACTATATGTATTTTTCATTCTTATCAGACGAGTACAATTGAAATTAAATTGTGTCATATTTTATTGACAAGCATAAACATTATTTTATCGCTAATGTGTGCCAACGATTTTATCAAACAAAATGAATAAATAAAGAAAATGTATTGACTTAACGGAAATTCACCAAAACGTTTGATTTCTCGTTCAGGTGTTTACAGTATATTATTATATGAGCAATTATGGCAGCCATTATTCACAAAGATGATGTAAAATTATCTGAATGAATAGTGTCCATAGTCGCGAATGTGATACTAGATATGCTTTTTCTACACCCATTAAAGAAACAAATTAGACTCAAATTTGATAATTTTGACACTTCACTGTCACACGAATTGATTTTCAGCCACAAAAAGAATTAATGACAGTTAATTTAAAATACCGTGCGATTAAAAAAAAATAGAGTAGGCGGTGATTAAAGTCCTTCAAATGGCAATCCTGTTTTTTGACATCAAATGTCAGCGAAAACTTTGACAAAGTTGCGTTTTATTCCTTTTGAGTGAAATAATGTTCATTTTAGAGCAGAAAATGTTTATTGCTGTAACAGAGCAAAATGGTGTATGGTCATTTTCACTTTCAGTTTGTGTGAAAAATTGCCAGCCCAGATTCCCAGCCAATGTGTTGCCAACTGTAGAATTTAATCGATCCCTACTCTAATTTATTTTTTATTTGATCGCACGGTATCACAAGTTCAACGCAACAGTGATTTTTGAATTTGTATTGTGATTGGCCGGATACAGTGAATTATAATTTAATTTAAATTTTTGACAAAAAACAAACTTGATTTTTCAGCACAAAAATAACTATTTATAATTTTTTTACATCCATTTAAAAATACAAACGACGTGATATGCAGTTCTTTTTATATTATTTGTTTACAGCATATTTAATTGGAAAGTAAAAAAAACTCGAAAATGGGAACCAATTTGTTTATGTAGTCATTACAACATTTTTTTCAAGGTGTTTGTTGTTCTAGAATATCTTGTTTCGTAGAACTGTTACGATTGTTTTGTAAATATTTAATCTCTACTGCGAGAGGAACAAATATTATTTCAACTTATTGTCTAGAAGCTCTAAACATCCTAAATGTGATAAGAATGTTATTTAAGATAAAAATGTTTTTGTAAATTATGATAATTATGCACGCCATTTTCTCTTTTCATAATAAAGACGTTTTTTCAGCGTCGAATTTTGTCAATTTTAGCAAATATTTTATTCATAAGGTGTTGTTTTCAGTTTGCATATTGACCTTTGACGTTTTTTGTTATGTGATACAAAAGAAAGTTGTGAACTTAGACTAAAGAAATATTTTTAAATCATTTTTAACAATTGTTGTACATGTGTATATTCTTCTTATGTTAAAAGGACCTTTGATTTCAGTTGTAAACCGGCACCTCCACCATTTTTATCTAACTGTTATTGAAAAATTTGTTAATTGAATGTTCTAGTTTTAGTAGATTACTTTATTTATGGAAAAACTTTAAATGTGACTTGTATCTTAAAATTAAATCACATCGACCAATAGAGAAATACTTGAAAAATCAAGCAGTTTAAGGTAATTAATTCAGTCTAGATGATAACGTAGCACTATCATAAACAAACATTTTCGGTAATAATAAAGCGTAGAAAACACTTAACTTCAAAAATACAACCTACGATAATTATTGCGATTATTGATTAGATAATTTAGATAGATTCACAATTTTTTATGCAATTTAGGTTTCAGTTAAGTAATATTAAAATAAAATACAAACCGGAAAGTGGAGCAATTTTTATTATTTCTGCTCTATGGTTATTCTTAAAATGATCCGGAATAAACCAGATGAAATTTTGTCATCCCACTACCATTTAATCGAGCTCACAATCATTTTTTGCATAACAACAAACCAGTCATCCTGTGTTGGTGAGGGGGACCTTAGAAACAGACAACATTAAACTCAGTCAACAAATAGCAATGGACTTTGTACTCATACGTAAGCGACTGCAAACAGAAATAAACACAAAGCCGGAGGAGATCCCGTCATGTGTTGTACTTTGGCCTCGTTATTGCTTTGTTTTTTATTTTATTTCAACGTTTAAAGGAGATAAGGTTTATCATGTCATGTTTTGTTTTAGTAATTTGTTGATTATATGTCTTGCAAAATACCGCGTATATAAATTGACACAAGGTTAATCCGATGACCATATTTAAACCTTCTAGAAAACTGGAAACCTTATAAGTGAAAATGTATGCATGGATTATCATACTAGAGGAAAAATGTTGTAAGCCTTGCCTAATTTTGTAACAACAATAACAATACTTTTTATTGTGCTTATTAAAATGTTTCATCAATTTGGCCTCGTTTTTTATAACTGTTCCCTCATTTCCGCTTTGCAATTTCCAAATTTCCAGAATTTTTCTATGCAGTTACGTGCATTTTTGGAGCATTTCCAATACCTCAATAAAAATAAAATCGTCGTATAAAAAGTCATTAACATTGACCATAACCTTGTATGTCAATTCAATGTTTTTTATGCATACTAAAGAAAATATGAGTACAAAATATTATATCCAGAAAATGTTGGATTCGCATGAATGAACTATTTGTGAGCTTCAATCACAATTTTTACCTATTATTAGATTAAAACGTAAATTACACACGTCAACAGTGCAAAGGTTTTTGGGAGCTTTTGCCAAATATTTAGAGGCACGACTGATCAAAGTCCTAAAAAAATCGCTCCACTTAAAATAAAACGATAATTAAATTTTTATTACGGTGTAATGAATAATGAGTTCTTGGCTTACTTGAACTTTTTGCGCAGAATGATTTGTGAGGAATAATAATGTTAAATTTCTTAATTTGTTACTAAAAATTATTATTTTTTTAAGCAAATTAGATAGAACCAGAAGGAAATAGTAGGTATAATCTGTATTTTTATTATTTATCATTATAACTGTCAGGGGGTAGTTTTAATTTTTGACTTTAGTACCAAAATGTCAAAAGCTATGAAATGGCAAAAACATACGGAGCTCATGTCATGTTCTTGATTCACACCACCTCTACCAGCAAATAAATTAAAAATTGACAATTCTTCTATTATTCAAGATACAATTGCGGACACGGAATTCGGACGATTTGTCATTCGACTAACATAAAAATGTAAAACGGGCCTTATGCAAATAACCTCACTTTCGGTTTGTCTGACACCTGGAGAAAAAATGACATCAAATCAAAAAAAATTATTGAAATTATATAAAAACATGGCATTATTGTTTCAACTAAAACTTTGAACTTTAATTTCAAACGTCAATCGTAATGGCAATAAAGCGTGGCTTACATTGACATTTTTTGGACTGACATAAATTTCATGTCCAAAATTTCGTGTCTACAATTGTATGAGAAAGACCAAAGGCGTGTCACATAATTTATCCAAATAAATAATGGCCATTATTTCGAGTTGAATATTGTTTTATTCTTCGACACTGTCAAAATTTACGTTTTTTTTTCCTATGTAAGAAAGTGTTGACAACTGTGTCACATTATTTTTAACACATTTAAAGCAAATTTAAACCTTGTTGAGTCTAATTCGAAGAATAAAATTATGTATTCAACTCGTCTTCGTGTAAATCGGTTTATTCCCCTCGTGGATGATAAAATCGTGAAATAAAGCGGCCAATTTACACTCAAACTCGTCGAATAAATAACCATTTGAAGTTTATCTTCATTAAAATTAAAGTTTTGAAAGCTCTCTGATTTTTATAGCTCATTCAAAAACGGTTTGCAAAAACTGTATGTGATTGATTACACAAAATAACTCTTTGTGTCATCATTTTTTCTTAAACAGTTATCTTCAAAATACACGGCTCAACAACTAAAGTGGATATTAACTGTTTTTCGGAAATTTGAAATTAAAATGTATGTTAAAAGTACGGAGAACTACATACAGGGTGCGTCAGAACTCGCGCCTTAGAGAAAAATGCCATATAAGGTAAGATACCAAGAACATGAAAAAAATGTTAAAAAAATTTTATCTATAAAAATTTCGAAGTTATGAGGGTTTATATTTTGCACTTTGACTCTATTTATTTCTGTTGGAAAAATAATTTTCCAAGTTTTTTTGCTATAGGTTATTAAAAGAGGAAACAAGGAAGATATATCCTAAATTGTAACTCTGTTCAATGTTATTTGTGCCTTTTATTGGCAAATTTTTTGTGTTTTTATAAAATAATTGTAAAAAAAACATATACAAGGTCATCAGTATCATTAAATAGACATAAAAAATGTCAAATGTCAAAAAATAAATATCAAATTTTTTTGACAGATAGAATTTTTTAAACATTTTTTCCATGTTCCTGGTATCTTACTTAAATCTTATTATTTACTTAAAAATTTTCTCTGGGGCGCGAGTTCTGGCGCACCTGCATAGGTATCCGTAGTTAAAAGAATAGCAATACATACTGATTAATAAACACGATTTCGAAATTTGTTTTTTCGTTTTATTTTATTATATTTTATATGCCCTTTTTCTTTTCATTTTAATTGTAGTGGTGTTTTTACACTGATTATTTTCTTCAGTTCTCAATTTTGACTGCGAATGGGTAGAAATTTATTTATTTTAACTGTTTCTTTTTATTAATATACCTACATTGAATTAAAAAATAATAAATAAATTACTTTCCAATATCCCTTCAACTGTTGAGCAGTGTATAATTTGCCTAATTTAAATAATAAACAAATTTAAATAATAAACAACTAAATTAAGAATTTTGCTGAGTAATATGTATTATAACAAGTTTATCTGGATATCTGTTTTTTGCATAAAAATAGTGTAAAGGTGAAAACTTTAATGAAAATGGATTTTGCTTGTTTCATACTGACATATCAGTATATCGAACCATTGATACCGCGATAAATATTATTATAGATGAATTTTTTCTTACACTTGGCAGTTTTATATTTGTTCCGAATAATAAAGCAACACTTAGAAGAGGAAAAACTTGGACTGGACAAATTATTTGCAAAAAAATGCGTACTAAATAAACTTAAATTTTATCTGTCACTGCTTCAACTCAACTTTCTAAGTTGTTTTTTTGCATTATTACAGAAGATAAAAGATAGAAGTAGTAAAATTTGTAGCAAAATTTTTAAAAGATAAGGATGAAGTTCTAAGCTAATGACCTGTAAATTATTTGGCAGACTATGTATATCCAGGAACTAGAAATACATATTTCGTCAAGGTTAATCTAGAAACAACAAAATTGTTTAAATCCTTAAGTAAGCTTCCACGAGGGATCCTTGTTTCTCCTTGAAATAAATTCCGCTAAAAAAACTCAGAAAATGGGGACCCTCTGCCAAATTATTTTCAGCAGGTGTTTAAAACTAGTTCATTTGGACAAAATAATTTCACAGCCAAATTACTCTCCAAACTATAAATAAACAAGTATAATAAAGCTATCATTTAAAAAGATATTTATTTTATTGTTGAAAGTGTCGTTTGATGGCTCAATTAAAACAATTTATTGTTTTTTTTAGGTTTGAATGCATCTGAACAAAAATCCTTTATCTTCTTGCGAAAAGAATTGCCAGTCCGTTTGGCCAACATCATGAAAGAGATCGCCCTCCTGCCTGAAAATCTCCTCCGGATGCCCTCAGTGGTGGCCGTCAACGATTGGTACATTCGTAGTTTTCAAGAAATAATCGAATTCGAAAAGAAGGAAATCAACCATGAGACCCTCAATTACTTCTGTGATAGTTTAGTGAAAATCCGGAATCGACATGCCGACGTGGTTGAAACGATGGCTCAAGGGGTACTCGAATTGAAAGAGTCCCACGATGTCGATCACCAAACAGAGCACAGTATACAGTATTTTTTGGATCGGTTCTATATGTCAAGGATATCGATTCGAATGTTGATCAATCAACACAGTAAGTGTGTGGAGAGAATTAAATTTAGTTTGATTATTGGAATTTAAGCACTTCTATTCGGGGGACAATTGGAAAATGCACCTGGGCCCAACCAAAGCAAATACATTGGCTGTATCGATCCTCAGTGTGACATCGTAAGTGTTATTAAAGACGCCTACGAAAACGCACGGTTTCTGTGTGATCAATATTATTTAGCTTCGCCAGACTTAATCATCAATCAATCACAACATAATGGTAACATTCCAAACAACGACTTGTTGAAGATATTTAACATATCTTTCCAGAATTGCAACAAGAAGGACGAATTAATATCGTTTATGTACCGTCACATCTTTACCACATGTTGTTTGAGCTGTTCAAGAATGCAATGAGAGCGGTTATGGAGTATCACGTGTCTAATGACAAGTATCCACCAATCACGGTCACTATAGCCAAGGGGAAAGAAGACATTTCGCTTAAGGTTTGGTTTTATTTTAGTTAATTTTATTTTCGGACGTGTAATGTAGCAAGTTGAAGCAATCGTTTTGATGCAAAATTACTGTTGACACAGATGTCGGACCGAGGAGGGGGTATCGCCCGATCCACCACGGAGCACCTGTTCAAATACATGTACTCGACAGCCCCCCAGCCCAGCAAATCGGACGCACATACAGTTCCACTAGCCGGTTACGGTTATGGTTTGCCCATTTCGAGATTATATGCTCGTTATTTCCACGGAGACCTTGTTTTGTTGTCTTGTGAAGGTGATGGAACCGATGCCGTTATATATTTAAAAGTAATGAATAAACACATTTGATGATTTGCATAACGAAGTTTTGTGTTTTTAGGCGTTATCGAATGAAGCAAACGAATTGCTTCCAATTTTCAATAAAACCACATCGAAATTCTATAGAACGGTGGTACAAACAGGTGATTGGTCTAATCAGGCTGCTAACGTGAGTCAGAGGACGATCAGTACTCACTATAAGAAACACCAACTTCCGCAAGAATCAATGACAGGGGCTATATAGCTAGAGGAGTAACTTTTTAGTTAGTTTAGATTTAGTTGGACGGTTTATTTAAGGTTAAAATATTGGTAAATGCATGTGTGATAAAATTTGTTGCAATTTAGACTGAAAAAATTAGTCGTTGCTGAATTAATATACTTGAAAAGCACGTATTTGCATGAATGTTGTGATGTATTAAATATCCATGTAATGGAGAAAAGTAACTAGAGCTGTTATCTAATGTTAAGCTTATATTTTATAGACCGATAGGTCTCAAAATATCATGTTAATAAATTTTTAGAAATTTTAAGTTTGTAAAAATGTATATAAGATATTTAAAGAAATTATTTTTAAATTATGTATTATATTTATGACTGAAGTTTAATTTCATTATTTTGATTTCAAAAATGGTTAAAATAAATAAATTACTTTTTAATATTCTTTTACTCAAAGTGCCTTAATTTTAATCATACAAAACATTAGCAGTACGCAAAGTACAAGTATATTTTTAAGCCTTATTAAAGTCAGGATTTTCGTATACATGATACACGAACTGAATTCCATTTTCTTCTTGGATTTTCTCAGGGACCCTTGGGTCACTAAAACACAAAATTAATTAATGATAGAAATGAAGTATTCTTTTGTTATAAATACCTAACTTTGACTAAGTTGTCTTTCATTTTTGGAAAGAAAGTATCACAGTCAAAAGTTTTGAGAACTTTTGTTAAATACAAGCGATGGAAGTATTTCGAATTCATGGTTGCCTAAAAGACTATTTTACATTTAAAGTTGTATAAAATGAAAATATTTAAACCTCGTATATGTAACTTCCCCCAATTACCCACACATTTTCATACTGTTGTTTAAATTTCTCATCTTGAAGTTTGCTTATAACTTCATCCAAACTCTTGAAACTGAAACAATCTTTATAGCCCTCAAGATTAACACCTGCACGTGACATAATAAAATTATATCTTTGGTTTAAAGGTTTAAATTTGGGAGGAATTGCATCCCATGTTTTGCGCCCCATGAGCACAACATTTTTTTTATTCGCATCACTTGTTTGTGTGGTCATTTGGGAAAAATAAGCCAATTCGGACCTTAAACATTCAGATCAATTAGAAACGTAATATTTGCTATATCACAAAGCTTTATCCTCAGTAAACAAGATAATTAAGAATTTTTACCATTTTTTACTTACTTGAGGCGCCAAGGAAGATCATTGTTCTTTCCTATGCCCATATTTTCACATGCCGCAGCAATTAAATCGAACTTTATCACCATTTTCTTTGTATATTGGTAGCTAATACAATTGCAAGGTGTTCAAAAATTCAAGACACTAAAAGTTATAGTGGGATAAACAAGTTTCAAATGCGATAAGAATTGCAAACAAAATAATCAGCTGTTAGAATTTGAAATTGGTACAATGCGCATGCTAGAGAGTAGTTTTACTGGTTGCTAGTACGTCTATGAAATAAAAAAAATCCTCAGAAAAGAATATTTTTATATTTTGTTCGATCAGTGTTTAAAGAGAAAAATTTTTGTGAAATTTCTTCCATTCATAATGTAAGTGATTTGAGGAATAAAAAATACCAGTTATTTTATTTACTTGTAATTCTTTTGAACAATTTTTTTTGAAAATCTCATAAAAACATTCAAATTAGGAAGAATGGACTATTTTTGTGCAATTTTATGTTAGTATTAAAGATGACATTAAAATTCAATTTCCTTGTGTGGGAGATGAAATAACATTTAAGAAAACAGTGAATTTTTAAGCGGGATTTATTTCTTCAACAATTAAAAATAAATTACAATATTGGTAATATTTTCACTAACCATGAGGACAATATACGATCTTTTAATCTTTCATTATGTAAAAAGGGTTCCAAGAATTATAATTTGACTTGTTTCCTATGCATCAGGCATACATGGATTGATATGCAATAGCTTGAACTTTATGAAAAAAACTAACTGTTTAGAAAATAAAAGCGTATTATAATTGACGCATCTATCTCATCTAAACACTTTAATACAAGGTGATTATCGTTTTAAAAATAATATCACAGACACAATCTACAAACAGATCGGGCAAAAAATATTACAAAAGAACTTTACTGTTGTCTTGTATCTTCAAGGACAATAAAGCGGCCCCAAAAGTCAAAGAAATGGTGATCACAGCGGGGAACATTAACATTGTGTGACCAAACATACCATAGATGGGGATGGCACAAAGGGACGCTAAATGGAACAAACTGCGCATCATACCATGAGCGGTACATCTGGAAAAAAAATGTTAAAATACTGACCATTCAGTAGTGATTTTTATACCTTAAATGGCATGGATATCCTTCGACTACCACCATATTAATTGCATTTACAGCACACATTAACATAATTTTGACTGTCAACTCAATAAGTGTCACAACAAAAGTATTCGTCCAAAAGAAAATGCCAATACATGTAATACTTGCGGTACCCATGGTGGTAAAAATGATGGGTGGTCTTGATGCAGTTTCTAAGATGAAACCCATAAAAAGCAAAGCTGGAAACATGGAACCTGCCCATGCTATAGTGTCTTCGTACAAATCATCCAAATAGATGTTATAATCAAAATCGACAATGCAATCAGATATCAATGACATAAAAGTATTATTGCTCAATGTACAATTGAGAAAATGGTGATGGGTGAGGTCAGTATCGACAAACCTCGAATCTTTAATGGTCGAGTTTTTGAAGTAAGTAATGGACGACTTCACATTTATAAATTCGGCTTCGTCAACAGTACAATTCAGAAATTCTACATGATTCAAGTTGATATGTTTGAAGGTCACATTTTTGAAAAGAGTGTTTTTATATTCAACATTTTCTAAAGTACTGTTGAAAAGAACTCCTGTGAAATTTCTATCAAATATATAATTTCTTTCCGCAAAATACTCTTGATCTTTAATTTGTTTAATCATGGACGTGGAAAAATTTGATATTCCCATGTAGGTGAAACCCACGATAAGGTGCAAGGCTGCTAGAAGTAAAGTTGTGCGAAAGTGTGTTGGAGAAGAGATGCGTTGAAAAGCTTCCCGAAACTATTAGAAAAATCAACACGAGTGAAATTGACTTTTTAAATTATACAGGCCGACAAAAAAAAGTCATGTCGTGACCACTTGACAAATTATATATCATTTTGTTCGTCTCAGTGAAACAAATCAAATGCACTAAATAATTTTTTTCTAATTTAAATGAATTTGAAATACTTTAACTTTAAAAAATCATTACTCAGTAACTATTAGGCCGATTTCCTTCAAATAAAGACCATTCCAAAGTATAAGAAAAATGATATGCAATTTGAAATTAAATATTAGCGAAGTTCGAAGTAAATCGAAGTAATCTAAGAAAAACCCTACGAGTAATTTTTTTCTTCTTCATAACCATCGTGTAGAGCATCTCTTTATTAGTTCAAATCCAAATTTTCAAAATAATATACCGAGTGGTTTTCAAGATATGATTTTTTGAAGTTAAGATTTGATATTCAAGCATTGCGTCATATAGGAAAAATGCATGTTAATCTTACTTACAATTGCATTTTTATAAAAGTATTTGTTTTAAGACTCTTCTTTTTCTTAAAAATGGCCAACTGCACCTTTTTTGTTCTAATTAAAATAAACAAAAACTTTTTGTTTACTTAAAACAAACAAAGAGTACCAGCGTACAAATTAAAGCAAATAAAGAGTTTCTTTGTTCTAAAAATGACCACTAAGCACTGAGCAAAAAGGATCTATAAGTTTAAGGCAATATCCTTAAATATAAGGGCAAATCCTTTTCAAATCAAATCACTTTCCATTCAGATTCCGACTTGTTCACTTTGTTCTAGCTTTCTGAACTTTTTTTGAACGCAATAAGTCAGTTGCTTTGTGTGCAACTGTTATCACAACAACTACTACCAACAAGTTAACTGAAGCTAATCGTAGAATGTACCAACAAAATAAATCAGATGACTTATTGCATTCAACATCACTCGAAAGTGATTAGGAAGCATTTGCTGAGAACATTTTCAAAAAAAAGTTCAGAAAGCTAGAACAAAGTGAACAAGTCGGAATCTGAACAGAAAGTGAGTTGATTTGAAAAAGATTTGCCCTTATATTTAAGGCTAGTGCCTTAAACTTCTAAATATTTTTTGCTTATTGATCAGTGGTCATTTTTAGAACAAAAAAACTCTTTATTTGCTTTAATTAGTACGCTGATACTCTTTGTTTGTTTTAAGTAAACAAACAGTTTTTGTTTGTTCTAATTAGAACAAAGAAGATATAATTGACCATTTTTAAGAAAAGAAGAAAGAAAACAAATACTTTTATAAAATTGCAATTTTAAGTAATATTAACATGCATTTTTCCTACATGGCGCAATGTCTGAATAGCAAACTTTAACTTCACTAATAAAAAGACTAACTAACTAATAAAAAGATGCTTTACACGATGGCGACAAAGAACAAAAATTACTCGTACGGTTTTTCTTAGATTTTCTTAGATTACTTCGATTTACTTCGAACTTCTTCGAACACCGTTCGAAGAAAAGTTTACCAATATTCAATTTCAAATTGCATATCATTCTAAAGGGCAAGTCCATCCCTTTAGAATGGTCTTTATTTGAAGGAAATCGGCCTAATAGTTATTGAGTAATGATTTTTTGAAGTTAAAGTATTTTAAATTTATTTAAATTAGAAAAAAAAAAATTAGTTCAAAGTGAGACGAACAAAATAATATAAAATTTGTCAAGTTGTCACGACATGACTTTTTTTTTGTCGCTCTGTGTTATAATACTTACAGACTCTAAACCATGTCCAAACAGATTTCTCGAAGGGCTCATGGGTCTCTCCCTGTAGGCACTCCTTCCTGGCAGCTCCAACTCAGTTAATCCATATTGGGTTCGTGCTTTATTCAACCTGTGGAGCCTCTGGTACACGGCCAAAGCTTCAACTTCTCTCGAAGCTTCCAGAAGGTACCTCGGCGACTCAGACGCCCAAATTAACCCAACAATACAACCAAGGGTGGGAAGAATACTCAAAATGAGAAAGCGATGCCAAGAACTCCAATGTTCTCTATTATCTTCGACTATTTCAGCCCCGCTAGTAGGCATGGTTAAATGGGCGATCAAAGATGTAAAAATAGCCCCCAAGGGCCAAAACGAGTACAGCAATCCTGTGTATCGAGTCCTAGTGGCCCGCGAGCATGTTTCAGACAAATAACTAAACGTCAACGGAAACGCTCCTGCAACCCCCAATCCAGAACAAAACCTAAAACCTTTCAATAAAATTCTAGTTTGTTCTCAAGTCTTGTGAACATTTACCGGGCTGTCATAAATGTTCCGTACGTTGGCATCACTGTTGCAACTGCAGAGAAAAGTGCAGCGACTGAAAGAGCACTAATTAGAGCTCTTCGACGGCCTAGATGGTCGCCAAGGATGCCCCACGCGAGAGACCCTCCTGCAAGAGCCAAAAGAGTGATGGAAACCAGCCATCCTTTTTTGTGCTCGTCTATGCACAGTTGGAGCTCCGCAGCTGGTAGGATGTAGCCCAGAATGGTTAGTTCGGAACAATCGGCGGCAAGGCCAAGGCCTAAGACTAAGGCTAGGAGGAGTTGGGCTTTTCCCACAGCTGCTTGTGATAAGGCGTCTTCGTGGAAACCAACAAGGGCTTCGCCATTGTGGCTGGTTCCTGCGGTGCTGCCTGATGACACTGAAATGATAAAATCGGAAAGGTTAAGGCCGGACAAGGAGCAGGGCTGAATAATTTATTATTAGGATTGTAAACAAATAAGTCGAAGAGTTGATTAATAATGGAGCAGGGAGGACGAATAGCGGAATGAATTAATTATTAAGTCGCGCAATAAGTTTGTCCATGCTTGCATGCTGGAACAGGTGATGTTGTCTCATTTCAAAGAAAAAAATAGCAAAATAATTTAACATTTAAGACATTTAACAGTTGACAACAATTGACAAAAAAATTCTCAAGAAGGTTAAATATGTTCAATTAAAATTAAAATCTATTAACTACTTAGGTGAACAGAGTAATTGAAAGGATGTGAATTAGTAAAAATTGGGAATACGAAAGGACACATACGTCGGGATTCGTTTGGCCCATTTTGATTCTGTTCCAACGGAGGTACCAAGCATGCGGATTCCTCACACATCCTTACCCCCTGTTGTGCGCCGGTTTATGGTTTCGTCATTACCACTCTCAACAACCATCTGAAATAGGACGATCAATTAGCTGGTTAAAAAATTGTACCTTGTTAACCTTATGCCAAGTTACAAAACGATTTGATTTTGTAACTTATTGATTAGTAGCATTAACGCGTATAATGTATGCAACAATAATCGCAAGATTGTCCATGAAGACTTGAATTAAGTAAGAAGTGTTTTTCATGATATGTTACGATGTGAAATATCTTTATCACGATCTTAAAAATACAAGAGAAAAACTATGAGTGATGCATTTTTGCGAGAGATTTTTGATTATAATAAAGGGATATTATTTTCTTAGGTCCTGTTCTCTCATAAAGTTTATTGTTATACTAGCTACATGTAGCCGAGACATGTACATGTTTCGACTATTTTTAGATAGCCATCTTCAGGCAATATTATTTTATTCACTCCCGAGAGAACAGGACCTAAGAAAATATTTTTCCTTTTTTATAAACAAGAGAAATATTTTTGCTTCAGTAAATAAAAGGTTTAAAACTCCAATTTAGAATGAATAATGAAAAATATTCCACTGTTTGAATAATTGTTTATTTCGTTAAAAACGCTAAACGTATTTTGTGCATACTATTTTCTGTGAACAGCAACTTTCAATTAAAACGTTTAAAATTTATAAATAAATATCATTAATGGTAATTTTAGCATGTTGTAGACTTTTAATAATTATTGTAATTTTGTATTAAATTTTTTGATAAATCTCTCACAGTTTTTGATGATGTTTAAATAAATATACAGGTGCGCAAGAACTCGCGCCCCAGAGAAAGGTAAGATAACAGGAACATAGAAAAAATGTTAAAAAAATTTTATCTATAAAAATTTCGAAGTTATGAGGGTTTAAAGTTTGCACTTTGACTCTATTTATTACTGTTGGAAAAATAATTTTTCAAGCTTATTTGCTATTAAAAGAGGAAACAAGGAAGCTGTATCCTAAATTGTAACTCTGTTCAATGTTATTTGTGGCTTTTATTAGCAAAATTTTTGTCCTTTTACTAAATAATTGTAAAAAAACATATACAAGATCATCAGTATCCTTAAATAGATATAAAAAAATGTCAAATGTCAAAAAATAAATGTCAAAATTTTTTCACAGATAGAATTTTTTAAACATTTTTTTCATGTTCCTGCTATCTTACCTTACTTGGAAATTTTCTCTGGGGCGCGAGTTCTGGCGCAGCCTGTATATTAGGCCCATAAATAACGTTTTTGCTTGTGAAAAGTTCCTCCCATCTTTATAAGATTTTTTTTTTGCCAAACCATAATGAACTAAATAAATATTAGGTTATGTACCTAGCTCAAATTGGGGCAATCTAGTTAGGTTTTTAGTGAATACTGACACCTAACTAAATAAATATTATCCAAAAAAACTTATATCTTAAATATTTAGGTGCTTTCAAAATTCTGACCTTTCTGATTGTATGATTGCGAATAAAAAAATTAAAATGTTGTCTAACTAAAAAAATGGTGGATTATTATTTTTTTAGAGTATATAGGATAGAAAAAGAATAAAGGGAATTAAACTATTGCATAAGTGCTTAAAAATACTCCTAGTGTTTACGAACGAGTGTACTTTTCAAAAGCTAAAGGTTTCGTTATTGATGTTTTCTTCTGGTAACTACTTTACTATTTACCAGTTTTTTTTAATTTTGACTATAATAGTTACTTTAAAACAGTGAGTAGCTTATTTTTTAAAGAGACATCTACTTAAAAAATGGATTCAGTTTCGATTTATAAGGTGTCTATCTAATGTAAAAAAAACTATGATTTCAATTACAGGATGAAAATATAGATATTTATAAGTACTTATACAGGCTGCACCAGAACTCGTGAAAAATGCCATGTGAGGTAAGATAGCAGGAACATGGAAAAAATGTTAAAAAAAATCTAGCTATAAAAATTTAGAAGTTTAAATTTTGCACTTTGACTCTGTTGGAAAAATAATTTTCCAAGTTTTTTGCTACAGGCTATTAGAAGAGGATACAAGAAAGTTATATCCTAAATTGTCACTCTGTTTAATGTTATTTGTGGCTTTTATTAGCACCTTTACTAAATAATTGTAAAAAAACATATACAAGATCATCAGTATCATTAAATAGACGTAAAAAAATGTCAAATGTCAAAAAACAAATGTCAAATTTTTTTTGACAGGTGGGATGTTTTAAACATTTTTTCTATGTTCCTGGTATCTTATCTTACCTGAAATTTTTCTCTGGGGCGCGAGTTCTGGCGCACCTGTATAAATATAGAATATATGTAAAACTCTTTTTCCTCTGGTATAACTAGTCTAGAATATATGCTTTGATCTAGAATTCCCAAATATTGTTTTTTAGAAATTTATAATTTATTTATTATATTATTATTTTTTGTCATTTATTGGTTATAAAAATTTACTAAGCTCATAATAGACAAACCTTAATTAATTAGTAGGTACTTGTTTTGTATTTACGTGCGTTCCTAATTATTGAAACACTTTAACTATTTAAAATTAACTATAATTCAATTATAATTCTAATTACAGGAAGCACGGTGTAGTTTACCAAACCCATTAGATACGATGCACACCAAAATAAACTTGAATTGTCTGTATTATTCGATTAAGCAAAGTTTACCCACACACAGTTTACGAGCTTGTAATATGTTGTTCTAATTCTTTCATTAGTAAAAAGCTTTCGAACTAAACATGAAACAAAAGCAAACGCAATAAAGAAACAAAAAGATATTGGTGGCATAAAATTAGAGAATTGGACTACAACAAAACCCGCAATTCTACATAAAGCTTTGAATTTTAATTCACTCTCTGCGTGCTGAATTCCATCACTCGTAATCAACAATAGGCATTTATTATACATTTTAAAAATACAAACAAACGACTCTCATCCACATTAAACTCACCTGTGGTAGGTTCAGTAAACTAGTAAATGGATAGTTATTGCAAAAGCTGCGAATGTCACGCTACTGGACACAATATCGATTCAAAGCTTCTCTTCCCGCGATCAATAATGCAAAAGCTTTGTTGGCTCACGTAATGCACCCTTTACACTGTACCTTTGTTGATTGTTTAATGAGAAAGGACACGTCCAGATCGAATCGACTACACGCACCCTTTGCTGCATTTGAATCGAAAACCGGCCCTTCTGCGCAACAGCAAAGGGGCGCTTTTATTACCTACGTAACCTTTAGTTTCAACCTGAAAAAACCAACTTTAAGTAACGCCAGGTAAAGGGAGGTCATACGGAAAAACACCGCTGTTTCACGATTCGATGAAGTTCAAAGGGCTGAAATTTAGATTTCTAACGTTTCAAGGCTGATATAAAAATTATAAAATAAAGCAACTGCAAGAAAATCGCGTGTTAAATATGAATTAATTAAATGTCATTGATTAATAAAATGGAACGACGTTTAACAGATAAGCTCCGACATGAGGTAGATACGAGTAGATAATCAGGCTATTAATGCATGACAATGTTTATCAATTTTTCGTGTTCTAAGTTTATTGCTGTTTTGGATGTCTACACTCCTTACGTGTTGTAATTTTATATACGTTTAATGATGGCTTTTATAAAGTGATTATTCGACACGCATGCTTTTAACTGATGATATACTTGCATAATGGACAAAGTTTTATTCTTGGCATTATCCTCACAAGAACTTTTATTACCAAAAGCAAAAGGGTATTACGGAGGAAAAAAACAAGACTTACAAGAATTGCTTTTTCTTTATAAAATTAGAAAGCACAGAATTCTGAAAGTACCAGAAAATTAAAAAAATATATAAGTTTTTTTGTATATTTATTTAGTTCATGATGATTTGACCAAAAGTGCTTGGCAAAATATATCATAAGATATATAAAATTTATATTTTTGATTATGGGCCTAACCGGTTTCGCTTATTTATTTAAAATTACCATTTATAAATTTTAAATGTTTTAATAGAAAGCTGCATACATATTTTTTATTGTATTTTTCTGTTCATTTCTAGAATTTGTTTTCGGTTCACATAAAATAATAAGCACAAAATACGTTTAGCGTTTTTAATTAACGAAATAAACAATTATTCGAAGAGTGGAATATTTTTCATAATTATTCATTACTTACACACTTTCATTGCTTTTCAGGAAAACACACAATTTCTATAAAAATACTCACCGACTAGTAGACTACCAAAATCATATGGTTTTGTATTCACTAAATGTATTCACTAAATTTTACTTTTATTACAAAAATTATAAAATAAAAATAATAAATCGTTTTTGTCAGCAAAAAAAGTAACATAATCGATTAGAATAATACAATCATACAGGGTGAATAAAAAGTATAAAAAGTAAAGTGCTTTAAAAAGTGTGATCGTATTTTAAGAATAAAATTTCGTTTTGTTCTTGAGTTATGTGATTTTTTTATCAAAAAGGCAACTTATGTGAATTTTTTTTATAAAAATTGAATAGGTATAAATCCTTAGACCATAGCCTTCATGAAAAAAATGGTAGTGGGTTGCCATTTAAAAAAAATAAAAATTTTGCGAAACTCAAAAACAATAGTACATTACAGATGAGGTGGTAAATATGACGTTACCCCGAGTGCTCATGTATACGATCGAGAGCCGCCAGCCTTGAGATCGGATAAAGCACAAGGGGTAATGCCATTACCACCGAGGTTTGTATGCTATTTTATTCACAATCACAACATCATTTTAGTCAAAAATTTTAATAAAATAAAATTCTAATCAAGTTAAGGTCTAAACGTGGTAGACCATCCAAATTGATTTTTGACATTTCAGGAATGTCAAATTGTCAAAGAAAATATTGAAATAATGTGTGAATTTGATATTAAAATATTGTTGAAATGGAGCAGTGTGCTCCCTCAGAAGTAAGAGAAACTGCTACAGAAGCAATTAAATACTAATTTAGCAAAATAATATGCGTAACTTGATAATTTGAAAGAAAAAATTCTCGGTATTTTTGTAATCTTAACGTTGGCAAACCTGCATATTACCGCCCAAGAGATAAAATGATATTACTGACATGTTTACGGTAGACAAAAATACGGATGCTCATTTTACGGTGAACAAAAATACTTTGGATGTTTTTACTTTGAACAAAATTGAGTTCTCCCTGTCGCACCATCCTCGGTAACGTATAGTGTTTATTTTTCCTTACAGTTTTCATGGGGTGCTGCATTTTGGATGTCCGAATAGGCAATCTCCGAAACTAAGAGGTTTAGCCAAAAAGGAGTGATACATTCTGGGGCTCATTTGTTGAGAAAATAATATGGGTTAAAACCGCATCTCGCTATCGTCTTTTGTTTTCGTCTTATAGACAAAAATTGACATTTTGGCGAAATCTAAAAAAAAATATATCTTCGTTATTATAGAAGATAAAGATTTGAAATAAAGACATTATAGAGGCACTTTTTTACGTAGAATTTAATAACGTAGTTAACAATTTTTTTCAGTTGTTTGTTTAGCCGTAATAAAATATACTTGTATTTTTTAAATGGGAATCATAGGCGGCTATGGCAATTTTGAAAAGCTTATTTTTTTCTGATCTAAAAAATATACATTTGTAACAGAATATTTTTTTATAATTATAGTTAAAAAGTGAAATACATATTTTGTTTGATAATAGTTGGCCATGGAAAAACTATTTCACTCCAAATGTGTAAATAATAATCAATAAGAGTTTTGTGAACTGTAAAATAGATGAAAAAATTGATAAAATCATAAAAATTTAAAAAATACGATACGTTAGAAGTATTGAACAAATATGCGAGCGCCTCAGAACAAAATTATTACATATTTCTAAAAAAAAAAAAATATGGAAAACAAATGTGTCAACAGTCAAGTCAAGACAATTACAAAAAACATTTTTTTTGATGATCTAATGGAGGTAGGATAACGTTTCACATAGACGGAATTTAGGTATTTGAATAGCCATATCCTCATTTTTGTGTGATATAATACTAGATTATGTTATTAGGAGTAAAAGTGATTGTTTATGTGGCGAAGCTGAACGTTCATTTTGCCGAACGGAGTGAGGCAAATGGATTCAGCTGAGCCACATAAACTCACTTTTACTCCAAATAACATATACTATTTTATCTGCAAACGATTCAGATGGAACGAAAAGAGCAACACACCAATAATCAAGTAAATCACCTCAATAATCAGGACGCTTTGCAATAAAATCGTAACAAACGTCACGCGTCAGTTTCGGAATTTGTGTTGAGATTTCGAAAGTGTTGATTGATTTAACTGGTGAATAACTGGTGTAGTTTATAGTGCAATATGTCGAATGCTGATAATCTACCTTGTACCTCTCCAGAAAATGCTGAAAAAGCGAAAGAGACAAGAAAGAGACAACAGTGATAAATGTCTAAGTAAGTGTCAAGTAAAAGTAAAAACGCCTAGGCGTAAAAACAGTGTTTTTACTCCATGTCTGAAAAGTAAAACTTTTACCTGTGTCATTTAGTCATAAAAGTGGTCACTTTTGTGACGTTTGCAGATAAAATATATTTTATTGAAGAATTAAAGCGGCTTTTGTTACAACACTCTATGTATCATTAGAAGTTGCAATGGTAATGTTAGCTTGTTTAAAAACAAAGAAATGTTATTAGTCGCCAATAAGTTGATTTACAATTTAGTTTGCATCTTTTTCATTACTTAGTACTTAGAAAACTCTTTATTAGTGACACTGGTTGAATTAATATAGTTTGAAGCCTTTTGGTTGAAGATGCAACATTTTTTCATGGCCAACTGCGAACAAAAATCAAAGATAATTTTTTGCTAAAAATGTATTATAACAATTTGTTACAAATATATATTTTTTTAGATAAGCAAAAAACAAGCTTTTTAAAAATGACATAGCCATCTATGAATCCCATTTAAAAAAATACAAGTTTAGTTTATTACGGCTAAACACTCAGAAAAGTGATGTGTTTGTTATTACTACATTTGTAGTAGTAAAAAAAGTACGGTATATACTACTCTCAAATATGTTATAACGTACCAATTAGGTGATTAATGTTACTCATACAAGTGTAGATTTTACTAATAAAAAGTAGAGGTATAATTTACTAYTACAAACAGTAAGCTAARCTATATTTTTTTGAGTAAATTTTACGCAAAAATTGAATAGTAAATTCAACTGCAATGTAATTGTAGGGTTTACTACTACAATWAGTTAATTTCAATTATAACWASMATGTAGCTGTAAGATTTACYACYACAAAATGTAAAATGTAACGGTTGTTAGATCTCCCGCTATAAATAATACAACCCTCATAGTGGTGGTGGGCCAGTAGTAAGGTCCAGTTGAAGACGCGCGATTGACAATTGATTGTGATTTGCGAAACAATAACGGTCATTTCAAGCTAATATATAAGACTTCTTAAGGGCCSTTGTCCACACTGATTATTTTAATGTAACAGTGGTGTGAMGTGCTTGTGAAATTTAGTTCAAARTTTCAATTTGTGTTTAGAATTTTCGATTTTATATTTGAAGTGTAYTTCTTCAATGATTATTATGAAGAGTTATTTAGAAGRTTGGGGTCTCCAAGAGTTAATTCCGGTGTTTCATGGTAAGTAATTTTTTAGTATACCTAGTAGTATACCTATAAGAACTGCTGTAAGTGATTGATTGTTGWTATTTTTATATCACTGAAGTARAAACCATTKGGAAAATTATATTTGAAATATACACTRTTTTAATTAGATTGTAATTATTTTATATTTTATTTTTCATAGATTTATAACCGAAGGATTTAACAAACACTTCCAAGGGTATGAAGKRACCGAAACTAATGAGATGGATGTCGTAGACATTGGCAATTTATATAGTCCTGTATTCTGTACCTTAGTTAATAAAAGAAGTTTAAATTTAGTTATTCCACCCTTTCATTTTTAAATAAACTTATTAAGTTTAAGTAGTATAATGTACCTAGTTTTTTGTTCATTAGTAGGTAATTAGGTAAACTTAGTTCACATATTTATTTTTTGTAAATTGTTCTTTTTTGTATCTGTTTTTTTAAATAAAATACTAATATAATCACTGTGTATTATTATCATCTACACTACACTATAGTGATATCTACATAAAAATAATACTACATTCTACTTTATAAAATGTAATTTATTCTTCCTTAAGTTGTTAAACTGACGCTCTCTGATAGTTGGAATTAGCGTTATATAAGGGTCTGAAATACAAAAAATGTAGGTTGATTTTACACATCATATAACGTTAATTTTGCTATATGTGTAGTGGTAAAATTTACTAAAAGAACATAACGTAAAAATAACAACTTGTAGATGTAATAATCACCAATTTACAAAAACTATTTTGTAGTGGTAAAATCTACGGCACAAAATAGTTGAGGCCTATTTCACTACTACAAGTAGTAATAGAAACTCTTTTTCGAGTATTATCTACACTTTTTTTCTTTGAGTGAACATACAACTGAAAAAAATTGTTAACTACATTATTAAATTCTACGTAAAAAAGTCTTTATTTCAAATCTGTGTCTTCTATAATAACGAAGATATGAATTTTTTTAGATTTCTCTAAAATGTCAATTTTTGTTTATAAGTCGAAAACAAAAGACGATAGCGAGATGCAGTTTTAACCAATATTATATTCTCAAAAATGAGCCCCAGAATGTATTACTCGTTTTTGGCTAAACCTCTTAGTTTCGGAGATTCCCTATTCGGACATCCAAAATGCAGCACCCTGTACAGTGTTCCCTGTTTTCCCTTTACAGAAATTCACACGAACTTCTTTTTCAGAAGCTTAAGAGTTCTTCATCCTTCTTCCACTAGATCGCGCTCCTGTACTCGTCATCGATTTCTTTCCTTTCGCTTGTGTATTATCCAGCAAAGCTCGACTGCTCGTTATTAATATCATAAGGGAATAAGCTGCTGTTATTGCGCAGCCCAAGGCAATTTTCTGCTTCCCTCCCCTGAGACAAGTAAACGTTGCATAATTGTTTAATTATTGAGTATAATCTAGGCATCCTCTAAGCACGGTTTACACCGTAATCAAAATTTTACAACAAAAACTTCTGTAACACACCGCGAACAATAACAGAAGTTTTTTTTTTTAATTTTTTGTTACTGGTGCTTTTTATTCGTTGTCAAAGGACCGAGATGAAAAATTCCTCGGAGATAATAATCGTGTTTATAAAATCCAATGAGGCTTCAACCCTATAGAGTTCATCGTAAACAGGGGTTGCACGTTCTAATAGCACATCAGGGAATAAACCCCAATAAAAGTGTAAATCCCTGCACGACACAAACTGTTGGCAAAAAATAAACAATTTGTCATCCCCAGAATTTAATTGATAAAAATTATCAAGCACACATGGGTCCTTCGGGCTGGAAAAAATCAATCAGGTAACACTTTGGTCCGGATTAATCGGTCTTTGTACGTTTCGACACCCACGGATTAAATTGCTAGAGGGTCGAGATCATTTTCGAGCGTTTAAGTGACTTGAGTTGGAGTACATTTTTTAGTGTGACGAATTATAAATGGTAGTCAAAACAAGGGGAACGATTTTGTGTGGCACGCCGACACTATGTATGTATGTGTGATTTTATCTCCTTTATTTAGGGGGTTGTTTTTAGATGTGTGTTTATTATGACTTTATAGCGGAAGGTTTTAGCTTGTTTTGTCGTTTAGCTAAATTGGATTTTTATTTGTCGAGATAGAGGGAAGTGAGAAGACACGAGCGAGTACCCAAATTGCCCGCGTTTCACATAAATAACACTGTCGTGGGCACAGTTTTAACATTTTTATCAACAAACAACGTTTTTGAGTGAAAAAAAAATTAAATTAATTCTTCTTACAATAATTACCAGAAAATAAAAATTGTCTTAATCAATTTATTTTCAAAACAATATGAAAAAACCTTTTAAAAACCGAGTACAAAACTGTCCATTAAATTAAAAGTAACTCTTCTTACAATGAAACAAATTTATTACTGTAAACATGATTTAACGCAACGAGTTATTAGAGTGTGTGATTGAGTTAAATAGTGCCTGGTAAAACAAAGAATTGTCTCTCTGGAATAAAAATCTTATTTGGCAATGATGGCCGAAGGAGTGTTTCGCTCGGTATCTCGCTATCGTTTATTCGCGTTTCATTGGGTCCCAGGATACTGAATGGCGGTGATGCTACGAGTTGGGTCGATAACAACACATCTTACACCGGAGAATAGGCAAAGACGGGATTTGTAGGTTTCAAGGCGGAAACAAGCTTATTGAAAGGCCATTTGTAGTGGAAGGCATTAGCAGTGTGGCGTGGGAGGAGAAATGATGCGGTTGTGTGAACACATGTGAAGGAAATTTTCCGAAACAATAATGGTTGCATTGTTTCGGCTTCTTGCTAATAATTTACTTGCTAATAAGTTATGAATAAATCATAAATATGAGATGAACGAAATTGTCTACCCACCTCTTTTAAATTTATTTTTATTGGCTCTCATGTTTCACAAATACTCAAAAAGAAAATCTACTTAACTAACTCCGATTACGTTATAAATTTTCAGAATCTGTCATATTGTGAACTTAGTTTTGAGTAATTTTACAAACTTTTTACAGCTTTTCTTGAATGTCAGTAGAACCAGATAAAAATATTGAGTTTTCATCAAAAGTAGATGTTGGCAACTTAGGTATAACAATTATATTACACAAATTTTGGTCCTGTTTTAGAACATTTTTAATTAAAATAAAATAGTTATTTTTGTTACAAGTACCTAAAATACTATAGTTTTTGTGGACGAATCGTTGCTGCTGGAATAGCAGATGAGTCCGCAAAAACCTTTTAGGTATGTACATGTTACAAACAATATTTTTTTTTGTTAAAGCTCCCAAAAAACAAATTCACACCTCTTATTAATAAAAAAAAAATCGCCACAGTCCGGAAAACCTGTTATTTTTCCCATTTTTTCCGGAAAAGACTCATTTTAGGGATTCAAATAAGTCCCTAAAATAGCTATAATACTCGTTTTCATATTAATGTGCATCAAAGTAGTCGTTGAAAGGAATCATTTTAAGGTGGCAATCAAAGAATCCTAAACTCAATCTTCCCTAAAAATTATTTTTCCAAATAAATGTGTACCCCAGGTAGCATAAAATAATTAAAATAAACAACGTAATTAACATGGGGCAGTATACATAAAGATTTTTGTCATCATTGATGTGATTAGATTTGTTCTGAATGACATTAATGACACTTTTTGTGTAAATCGGCCTTTAAATTAAAGATGCATTTGGACTTCCACAACCTACTCGATGCACATTAATATGAAAAAGAGTATATGTTCGGAAAGTGTATACAAAAAAATATATATACAGGTGCGCCAGAACTCGCGCCCCAGAGAAAAATGCCGTATAAGGTAAGATACCAGGAACATGGAAAAAATGTTATAAAAATTTTCTCTATAAAAATTTCGAAGTTATGAGTAGTATCTTAGCTTACTTGAAAATTTTCTCTGGGGCGCGAGTTCTGGCGCACCTGTATATTCGCAAACGTCACAAAAGTGACCCTTTTATGACTAAATGACATAAGTAGAAGTTCCACTTTTCAGGCATAAAGTAAAAACTATGTTTTTTTCGATTAAGCGTTTTTACTTTTACCATGACATTTTCCAATGTAGTCTCTTTCGCTGCTTCAGCATTCCACATTTTGCACAACTAGCTCTACCAGTCATCCACTAGTTAAATCAATAAACAAGTTCGAAAATCTTCGAATTTCGAATTATTTTGTTCATTTACCCACTTGATAATTATAAACTCTCGATCTGAACACTTTGCGGATAAAATAGTATACAGGGTGTGTCAGAACTCGTGCCCCAGAAAACAATTTCAAGTAAGATAAGACACCAGGAACATGGAAAAAACATTTAAAAAATTCTATGTGAAAAAATTTGGACATTTATTTTTTGACATTTGATATTGTTTATATTTAATGATACTGATGATCTTGTCTATGTTTTTTTTTATAATTATTTAGTGAAGGTACAAAAATTTTGCCAATAAAAGCCACAAAAAACATTAAACAGAGTTACAATTTAAAATTCAGCTTCTTTATTTTCTCTTAGCCTCTAGGAAAAAAACTAGGAAAATTATTTTTCCAACAGAAAGAAATAGAGTCAAAGTGCAATTTCGAAATTTTTATAGATAGAATTTTTTTTACATTTTTTCCATATTTCTGGTATTTTATCTTACATGGCATTTTTCTCTGGGGCGCGAATTCTGGAACACCCTGTATGGTATTTTGAGTAAAAGTTAGTTTATGTGGTTAATCTGAATTATTAGAATGAAATAAACGCTCAGCTTTGCCACATAAATTATTTCTTTTATTCCCAATATGTAACATATATACTATCATTCTGTAGCCACTTCTTAAAATCTATTTAAATATAATAAAGTACTATTATACTCTGCAGAATTTATTATAAATTGCAATATAATTTATAAATATGTATAAAGAATTTACGATTTTTTGGTCCGTCATAATTAGAAATAAATAAAATGTTTTCAACGTCTGTTTTTACTTTTTCTTGACCTTCTTACGTCTGGCTCCTCACTCGATCCTGCTGATTCCCCGCTACTTTTCTCTTTGTTTTTACCTTTTTTTGGCCTTCTTACTTCTGATTTCTCCTCACCCTCAATTTCTTCTGGTGAATCTTCAGTTCTTTGTTTTTTACCTCTTCTTGGTCTTGAGTCTCTTGCATTTGGATTATCCTCACTCGAAATTTCTTTCGCTGAGTCTTCGTTACCTTTCTGTTCATTCTCTCTACTTGGATTTTCGTTTCTTGCTTTCTGATTGTCCTCACTTGAAATTTCTTTATCTGTGTCTTTGTTATTTCTCGGTTGGTTATCCCTGCTTTGTTTTGAATCTCTTTCTTCCGGATTATCCTCACTCGACATTCCTTTAACTGATTCTCCATTACTTTTTGGATCAGTACGAGTATTTATCGAACTTTTTGTACTTCTTGCTCGACATACTTCATCATCGCACTCGTAATTAATCCATCTCTCTTCGCAAGAACATTCATCATCGTCTTCTATTGTATAAGCCGAAAAACAATAATGTTTGATACAAAGATTGAATAATGCCAATGGGTACAGCAAGAAAAACATCACATTTAAACAAAATTGGCCGGCTAAAGAAATCCCACTGTTATTTCTATATTCACATTTTTTATCACCACACCTCGTAGATTCAGTACCAAGGATAGTATCCAAACCCCAAAGGCTGATTTCTTGGGAACATAACCCTAAAAGAGCTTTAACTAAACCCATTGCAAGAAGAGTCAACAACAAAAAAATGAACATGTTGAACATCATTGCCAACATTTCGTCTAAATATGATGTTTCAACGAAATGAGTTTCTGTTGGGAAGCCTCCTTGAAAACCAGCTGCGTGGTAACTATCCAAACTCATAGGAAGACATTTGAGACCTTTGTCAGCCACATAACAAGCACATTCACAATGCCAAATACAAATGCAACGATCATAAGTCATAATTCTTATTTGACGTACTGCAACTAACTCTTGGTTGATATTATGAACGTGGATAGAACAATAGAATTCCTTCATGGGAAGTGGATATTCTATAAACAGGTCGAAAATATGTTGGTGTTGTGAAGGAATCAAAACAGATTTAGAAGCAATGTTATTAAAAGTCGCGGGGACATCCAAAGGACAACCACTCATTCTAACGTAAAACACACCATACAGAAGACCAGAATTGGTCACTTTAGCTATAATTCTAGTTTTGGAGGGATCAGTTGCATCAGTGTAGACTTCGGTGATTGTAGCAAAAGAATTTGGTTTCAATAAAGTCACCAAATCGGCATTCAACTCGAAGTTTAAAGTGCTGACATGTCTTTTAATATAAACCATTTTCAAGTACTGAATATGCCCCGTCGAGTTATATCCTACAGGATCCTCAGACAAAGTTCCGTAAAACTTCAAGAAATACTGTCCCGGACGTCCTTGTTTCTCGGCCTCAGCATCACTTTCATACAACTGATTCGGTTGATTCCCCAAACACGACCCTTGAGGCTGAGCACATCGTTTTCTCTGTTTGAAAAACGCCTCATATCCCACTCCAGCTGTATCGCAAGTACGACCATCCGAAACGATTTTTTTCGGCAAAAGCATAAACTGTTCCGGATCGACGATTTGTCGTTCGGGTATCAACAATTTTAATTTTTTATAGTCTAGAGCTTGATCGTTAAAATCAATGTCTTCAGAGCAATATTTTGCGATGATGTCCTTTTCGACATAGAGAGTCTTTTGGGTACCGACTTCTATAGTTTTTCCTTGAGTTATGTCCATCCAGTGGGTGTTACCGTGACAATCTTCGTATTTTTGAAAAATCTGAATGCGGAGCTTGTGAACAATTTCAGGTTTTGAAATTTGATAGACAGAGTACCAAATGTTGGAAAAGGTAAGACAGTGGGTACTCTCGTAGAAGGACTCTGGAAGGTCTTTGAAGTCAATGTCGTCGCAAGTTTGGCCACCGCGGCGTTGGCGAATCTTACCTAAAAGAAACTCCAAAAATACAGGGTGTTTCATTCATAATTTATCTGGAAATTTTAACATAAAAGTCTTCAACAGCGTTTTTTATACAGTATTAAAATGTAAAACAAATTTTGTTTTTGGCATTTTTTGGTGTAGGTGTTAAATATGTATAGTCAACCATAAGACACCAGAATCTCATTCATAGTCAATTTTTTTTTCCTTTAGCAATTTTTAACTGTTTTTAGTAAATTGACTTCATTTCATTCATTTTATACAGGGTGTTCGTTTTTCGAGGTTAATCATGGGGATGTCAGTTATTTTAAGAGATACGAGGTCGGTTAAATTAGGGCAAAGTTGCGCATTTTTATGTTGAACAATAATCTAAAAGAAAATTGAATGTGTCATTTTTAGTTTTTGAATTATTGGAAGAAAAACGGAAATTTGTAATTTTGCTTTTATTTATCAAGCGAGACGTTTTTAACTGGGACGTTCTTAAGGCACTTTTTTACAAGGTGTCTAACACTCAACTTTGAATTTTTTTATGGACGCCATATTTGATTTCTGTATTTTTGAAAAGTTTTTTGTTCCTGATTACAACGATGTATTCGATATGATCAAATTTTACATGCTGATCAAAATTTAAAAAAAGCGTTTTTACGCAGAGTCCTTTGGAAAAAACGCCAAAAAGCTGGTGCATTCGAGCATCTTTTATAACTTTTTTTTTTTGCGAAGAATAAATTCTAGTTTATCACGTTGTTCCTAGCTATTTCAAAACCTTTGTTTTAAGTAGGTAAGCTTGACGGAAATGTCACTTCCAGATACAAATTCAATTGAACTGCCAAAATTTAGTTTGTTAATTAAAATTGGTAGCGTTTTGTTCCAAAGCACTCTTCGCAAAAATGCTTTTTCTTAATTTTGATCAGCATGTTAAATTTGATCATATCGTGTGAGACATTGTTGTAATTAGCAACAAAAAGACTTTTTAAAAATACATAAATCAAATATGGCGCCAATAAGAAAATCCAAAGTTGAGTGTTGTAACTCTAATATCAAGAGCGCTTTGGAAAATATGATGATAGATTTAAACAGATTCTTTGTAAAAAAGTGCCCTAAGAACGTCCTAGTTAAAAACATCTAGATCTTTTAGTTTTTGCTTGAAAAAATAAAAATATAAATTACATAAATTTCCGTTTTTTTGCAATAATTCAAAAACTAAAAATGATACATTAAATTTTTTTCAGATTATTGTTCAGCATAAAAATGCACAACTTTGCCTTAAATTAACCGACCTCGTATCTCTTATAATAATTGAGATCTCCATGGTGGAGCTCGAAAAACGAACACACTGTATGCAGTTAAAAATGTTTAGAATAAGTTGTGTGAAACACCTAGAGGTTAAGTATTTAAAGAATGAATTTTTAAATAGGTAATGTTAGAAAATTTAAACTACACTACTCCAAAAAATTAAAGGAACAAAAAATTTTCCCAAATTTTTTAGTGCTTTTTGACAGGCTGTAATTCATCGAAAAATGGTCGTATTTAGATTAAAAAAAACATTTTGAAACTTTAAGTTTCTAGTTTTAAGATCTTTTGGCAAATTTTTTTCTGTGCCACGGTTATCAAGTAATCCTGAGTAATAGCGCGAGAAAAAAAATCAAATTTTTTTGTTTTTCCTTTTGGACCATGGACGTGGGATTTTTTTAAAGTTAAGTCAATGCATAGGCCGGATAGCCTGTTCATTCACATGCTTTTCTCATATTCTCTTTACGTCAATTTGTCGCTGAAGATATCTGACTTTAAATGAAAAAGCATCCTTTTGTCTTTGATAATCGATATCTCAGCAAGCAATGACCACACATAGAATATAAGGGTAGTGTCAAAAACTGGAATAAATATCTTACAAAGATCCTTTTATGATTTTTAAAAAATTTTTTTTTTCACTCTCAACATTGATTTAAAGGAAAGAGAAAAAAGTTACTTTTTGCGTTAATTTAGTAAATCTACCGTGTATTTACTAATATTGATGGGGAGACTAATGTTTTAAGGTGTTTTTACAGCTTAATGTTCCCCCCATAGCCCTATAAATTTTTAAATCGATCCATTAAACCATTTTCTCGGACCGATTGATCAAAGTTTTACAAAAGAATTAAAGGAAAAATTGTACATATTGTTTCTGAATATTGTCTAATCTTCGTCAAAATGAGAAAAACAATTTGTTTTCACCTTTTTTACAATGAGTGAGTTATTCATTAAATTTGATATAAAATAAGATTCGAAAATTTTTTTTGTTCCTTTAATTTTTTGGAGTAGTGTAATATTTTGGAGAAATATTAATCTTTAATTAAAAAAATTGTAATCAATGATCTAGCTATGAAAGCCTTCAACTTCAGAAATTACATGATTTTTGTGTATTCGGTTTTGTAGCAATTATTGTTACTTTAAATGCTTGCATATACCATTCCACTACAACACTGCGGTGAAATTTTCTGTTGTAATTAAAATTTACCATTTGCTTGACACTTTTTATTCGCTTAGAATTTTTTGGATGTTTGTTGAAAGCAAATCAAGGTTACGATAAATAAAAAGTTATTCAAGGGTGTATTGTCCCCTCGCCAGAACTTGAATTTGTTGCCGAAAGAAATTACTGATATTTACCATCCTTTAACTCAGTAAATTGTTGGTAATTCACACTTTCGTCGGCACGCTTTTGAGGCCATCCATAAACCATTTTACCATCGGGTCTTATAAATCCATAATGTTTATAATGTTCATAATCATTTTCCTCGGGATGATTTTTACGATAGTCAGGTACACCACCGCGGAGAGGCCATTGAACTAATGGAACATGATTGCTGTGTTCTTCCAGCTGGCGATTTTTTTCAGCATCACAAGAACAACAAAATCCGGTACTGTAGGGAACCATTTTGCCCTCGTGTTGAACGATACCACAGGTGGGATGTTCGTAAGATGTGTCACAGCCTCGGTAGTTGCGAGTATGTTTATTAAATACTTGTTCCCTGGATTAACTGTTAGATGTTTTAACTAAAAACATCACACTTTTAACTTACTTAACTTCTCCATTTACAGCGCGTTCAAATTTTAATCCGTACACTTGCAGCATTGGTTCTTGCCTAATCCTGATTGCGTAAGGATTCAAAAGTCTCACCTTTTGCAAATTTGTAGGGTCGGTGATGTGATCAATAATGATATACTCACTCTTATCATTGGGAACACCTTCGTTTGTTACTTTGATAGTAAGAAGTAGCTTTTGTTTGCAGTCTGTTAACTTTTCAGGTGCTGTTTTGTTGTGTTGGACGATTACTTGATGCGCACTTGACCAGTTAAGGCATTTGAGATTAGGACATTCTGTCATTAGAGATTTGACCTCAAAATTTGTCGGCTTTTGTGACTCGTTACAGCAATCCATGTGGTTCATGCAGCATATGGCGTTTTGTTCTTCGGCGTCGAGTTTTTTACGTAAATTGTTGCTGACACGATGCACTGAACTCACACTCGATTGAAAAAAATGTAAAATCGAAATGATAAAAATAAAATGCATTTTTAAGGAGTTGATAAAATTATACTCGTCGAGAAAGGTTTGCTGTCAAAAAGACCACGTCATTGTTAATTGTCATCATTTGAAATTAATTGTGAAAAAAAACTCATTATTATGCAGTTTTTCCAAGAAAAGGATTATATTTACACTCATTATCTTCCTGGTGAGAAGACGAAAGTGTCTTTACGATTAGAAATTAGAAAATCGGTTCGTTGTGACCGCTTATTAAGTTTTATGAGGACCGATTAGTGCAGCTCAGACGCTTTCAACAACAGATCAACTTGCGCCGGCATTAAGGTTTCTTAAAACTATTTATAACAAGCCTATTAGCCACTGTGTCGGCAAATTAATACTGTTTACTTTAAGCTGAACGGCACCAGACCCATACCCAAGTACCTGTAGGTATCTAGAATCTTAATTTATTATTGGAGGTTTGTTGATAGTGGACTTAAAACCATTTTAGATTTTGTAATAAATCCTAATTAATTTTTCATTGATAGTTTTAAAAATTATAATTTGTGCTCTGGTTTTTTAAAGTTTGTCTGTAATTTATGTTCACCAATTATACTTTGGTTCAGTCCAAATAAAGACTAATAAATGCTATAATAATTATTCCACACGAGTGTAACGAGTGGTTTACCATCCACGAGGTGGAATAAAGCGTCCGATTTACACTCAAACGAGTTGAATACAACGTTTTATTCTTCGAATTAGACTATATATACTAAATAACTATTATATCTAGGTGCGTTCAAAAAATCATAATTAATAAAAATTGAATTGTTATAAAAATGTCATAAGGTTTTGAGAATGAAATTGTTTTTTTTTAATTCTTACGAAATAACCTCTATTTCGTTGCTCTTTTGCTCATCCTGATGATAAACAAGAAAAATGTGTTAGATATGACAAGAAAAACCTTTAATTGTCTTTTTAGAGAAACACGCATCCAAGAAATGGGATCTATAAATTAATAGGTTATAAACCCAAATCAGTTTTCTTTTCTTGGAAATGTATTCCTGCACAGAGCACAAAATTTTGCATAAAATATGTATTTAGTCTTCAACGTTTTCGACATACGTATAGGTAGTATCTAATTGGAAATTATTGTTATTTCATATGAATTTTTTCAGTAAAACTTTGACTTGTAGATTTAAAAAAAAAACAGAGATTTTGGGAATGCACTTCCTAACTCAAATAACACGCACTATTTACTCAAACACCAAACGTTTATTTAACCACTACGCGTTTCGAGAATTAAAACTATTAATAATAATAAATAAGTAAAGGTGTAAAAATTCCTGAAATTTGTTCATCTCACTGTAACTCTATCTAGAAATTTATTTCATTAGGTATGTTATTCAAGCGAATTCTGTCTTGACAGTAATCTAACATTTTTTAGATATCTTCTTTTTGAAGGATCGATATTCGTGGTATTCCCTTGAAGCAGCCCTTGCAAGTCCACCACAACAATATAATTTTACAATCAGACCGCTTTATTGCCCTTTCAATTCAAAAGTTATTGACCTTTCCGTTCCAAAAATGTAAATAAATTTCTGGTTTACCTGAACTCAACCCATGTATAATTGTACCCCGTCTTATTCTGTCAATGTAAAATTCTCTTCCTGATTATTCTCCGCAAACATTTCTCCCGTCTCGCGAAATTACATTTTAAATCAAGCAATCTCGGCAACATAAAATTAAACTACTAAAGCATCTTTATAGGACCATAAAAATACAATCAATATCAGATAAGTAAGTAGATATAGCGGCGCGGCGCAGCTTGCCCTTATTAAGGGTTGAAGCGCTAATAGTCCGTATACATCCGCCCTAATCCGTTCCGACATGTACTTACAGTCAATAAGGATCGCTTCACACGATTCTCGCCTCAACAAGACGACGCTACAAGACAAACCAGGCGGAGCTTGCACTAACGCGCACCAGCCAACCAAATTTGAGAACGGCTCCGCCCATCCGACCTCGGATAAAACAACTGATGGGCACAAGAAGGACACACTTTCCTGTCAACCTCCGGTGCAGTTATCTGTGTAGTGTTATGCATTTCTACGATAAGATGTTCAACCAAGAGCAAAACAACAACGTCCCCGTTGTGCTGGATGTCATTCCGCCGCATTACAACATACATCATGGGGCCAGTCCGCCAGAGTCCCCCAACAACCAACAGTACACTAAAGGTAAGCGGAAGTGCGACGCCGTATTTCCGACGCTAACATGTGGCAATTAACCACTTGATGGTCTAGACGTGGTGAAGAGTTCCGTGCTTTGGGGTGGCTCCCTACTAATTGACGGTTAAGTGCCGCATTAATTGTTCTTCTTCCGCTTCCAGATTGCTCAAGTCCTACTCCTTCCGACAAGTTGAACACTTCCACGGCTTCCTCGGTTAATGTCAACGATCAGAACATACGGAGATACAGAACTGCCTTCACCAGGGAGCAGTTAGCAAGACTCGAAAAGGAGTTTTTCAAGGAGAATTACGTCTCGAGACCCAGGAGGTGCGAACTGGCCGCACAACTCAACCTCCCAGAAAGCACCATTAAGGTAGGTTTCGAATAAAAAAATTTCTTCGGGTACCATCAAGGTGATTTTCCGTTAGTCCAAGTAATTACGCCGCCTATGGCGACCAATTAACACATTGCCCGCTCAAATAAAACGCTAATACAGCTTTTAAGAGATGAAAAGTGCCGCATCGCCAAGTGGTACCGCTTTTATGCTAATTTGGCCTCTATAACAGCCTCTCTTCAGTCGCCCAACTCTGGTAGCCTAATGGACAGATAAGCTGGAATCATACATTTTACGATGTGCTAACCGTTCTCGATCTACACTTCTTTGTTCAACAAATTAACATTTTCTTTTTCCTTCCAGGTTTGGTTCCAGAACCGCCGGATGAAAGACAAGCGTCAAAGAATGGCCATCGCTTGGCCATACGCCGCCGTCTACACAGATCCGGCTTTTGCCGCCTCCATTTTCCACGCGGCCGCCACTAGTCTGCCTCTGCATTACCCGCCGCCGCCGCCGGTCTACACCCACCACTACGCCAGGTACCACCCGTACCCCAACTTCGGGGTGCCTCCAGCCGGGATTCCTCTGCAAAATCCGGCGCTGAATTTGAACCCGCCGGTTCCACAAAACGCACAATTACCGCTGAATCTAGGATTGGATTTTCCCTATCAAGGGAAGTTCGAGCTACCGACAAAGTCGTCTCCGAGGAGTTCACCAGTCCATTCGGATGTCAGTCTGAGTCCAGTGCCAGTTCACGAGCCTCTTTTGATCACCGCAGAGAAGTTGTCGCCGCAGGGACAGACGAAGATTCCTCAACAACCCAAATTGTTCAAACCATATAAATCGGAAGCGTAAAGACATGTAAATTTTGTAAATAGTTTGTGCATGGTTGCTTTTTACGTGTACTATTTTTAGATTAAGTGTTGTATATAAATTAGTTACTTGTTATAAAGACTTTATTGTTTGTGAACTGAAATTTATTTATTTTAAGATTAAGGCATTTTAGTGAAATATAAACGTTTTTTCGATATCTTGTCATTTCATTTTCCTTTACTGAAATTGCACAAATAAAAAATATTTAACACAAAAAACTTTTGAGCTTATACCACCATTCTATCATATTTAATACCAAAAAAGTCGCAACGAAATAAAAATTCTATTTACTTATAAATTCAGTGGTGTCACGAGACAAAACTATTTGCTGCTAAATTTCTATTTATTCATACACACCATCAATAATAATATTAATTAATTGTAAAAAATACATCATAACGCATCATTTCTCTTTAGGTCTGCACTAAATATTATCTAGTTGTTTACACAAAGAAGATATACTCTCTATAATAATCTCAACAAAACTATAATTTAAATTTCGACGTGTTCTTACATCCATAATGATATTTCGTATACGAAATTGGAAAATATCGCACATGTTAAATTTTTAAATTTATTTTGATGGCATTTAAAATTAAAACTTTCTTCTTATGTTATTCTACTGCTACTTTACTTCTACTTTTACGAGTAGTACCTATTATAGCCGAAGTAGAACTATTATTTATTAATTTTAACATAATCGGGTACCGATTATGATTTGAAATTATCCAAGCATTTTTAATTATTTTTTTGCGCGATTGAGCAGTATTTGATTGTCTAACACGTCTGTTTCCAAGACAGTAAGTTGCTATCCCAAACTCGTCGGTAAGTATTTTGTTTATTGTTGCTAACTCGGTAAGCATTCAAAAAAAATAACAAAAATCAATGTCATAAACATTACGAACGTTAAGGACTTACCGATCTCAGACAATAATTGGTAAAATGTCCTTACCGTTCTTAATGCTTAATATACTATTGTATAGCCAAAACTGTCGTTTCAAATTATATGTATGTACGACTATATCTAGTACAAAAGATTCTAAAGCAACTGTTTTTTCAAAATTCATTTTTAAAATTATGTTGAACCGAAGTTGTTTCACAAAAAATGAACTAAAAAACACAAATATACAAACATTAAAAAACGTAATGTGGCTTTTGATGCTAATTTTATAATCTAAGTACATTACAAAGAATTAAATTACAAAAAGTTAGTTTAGAAGAAATTAAATGGAAATTTATCATGTTTTTCCTGGTTCAATGATAGTTTTACATTGCACAAATATAAATAGTATGCATTCAATTTGAAAGTTAACAGGCTTTGCATAAAAAGTATGAATACAGCTAAATATTTTCAGAACGGTCTAGCAGAGTACGTTGGGGAAACAGTTTACTTATTTTTTGGTCAAAGTTTAGGCGGCAAGGAGCTAACGATACATAAAGACAACATTTCAAGGCCTAAAAAAAATTACAGTTTTCAAAATTTAATTAGTTCGATAATTTTCGATAAAAATAAAATATGCATGTGTTACATCAAAAATCTAAGAAGAAAATGTTCTCCTTAAAAATATTAAAATTGCTATTCATAAAAATCAAGTTAGCCTTGTATTCCTAGAACAAATGGAGATAGAAGTTTGATAAACATCTGAGGCGATGAATATACCAAATTTGAACAAGTTTTGATGAATAATTTTTATAATATTTAACTGTATCCATATTTTTTAGCGACCCTGTATAAATATTAGGCACCTAAACTAATTATTGATTTAAAAAATAGATATTATTTATTGATTCAGAACATAATTGAAAGCTTTTACTGCTAATCAGCCCAAAGTTCTACATTTCCGTGAATAAGCAAACGTTTAAAATGTTTCCATTTATCCCTAACATGGAGTCGTGTCTCCAATTTTCTTATAAACCAACTCAACCAAGTCATAAACCAATGAACAGATTCTACCTGACATACGAAAGCTATAAGTAAGAATTACTAAACGATGCCGAAAACTGTGGGGTGCATCCTTTTAGAGAACATCGGTGCTTTTGAGGCTCGTCTCACAGCCAAAGGGTCGGTAGCCATCGCCATGGATGAACGTTCAAATTAGATTTTATTGGGGACAATAAATAGTTGCCAAAACGTTCGTTGAACCGAAATATAATTAAGTATTTATGCACGTACACCACCAGATGATTACATCGGCAAAACTCTTTCATTTTTAGCCAACTTGCAAATTTCCCAATTTGTCATTTACTTGAACACTTGTATAAATCGCTCCAAATCAAAATGTTTGTGTATAAATTAAAATTTAATTAGTTACACGAAATGCAGGAAGGCAATACATAAACATAAACATAGACGTTTCTTTTGTGTCCATTCAAAAGTGACCAAACTTTGACAGGTTTGGAAGCCTCCTGTTTTGTTGTTGAAGATAAATTGAAGGATTTTAACTTGAACTGTAACAATGCCTAATTCGTTGTGGTTAGCTTTATAGAAGAAAACAGTGGTGTAGCTTTCAGGAGCTTACCAGTCCGCTGAAATATTACATACTTTTTGTATCTTTTCATCTTTTTATTTATTGCGTGTGATGTTCGCTTACAGCAATAAATTTTGTAATTAGCACCATCATTACTTTGTTGTAGAATTATTTCCAAATGGATTATTAACATCAAGCTATGATTACGACGTAAAATGTTTTTATCTTAATTATTCTTTTTATGCAGTTTATGTGATGCTAAAAATAAAGTCATAACAATCTTTCTAAAACATTTAAATTTTAAATAATCACATCTTTGTTGGTAAAGTAAACATCACTTTAAACGTTTTCTTTTTTCGATAACTTAAAGTTATAACAACAAATATTTCTTTGCTAAATTATAATGTACTTTTAGTAATGGAAAGTTAATAAGTAAATTGGCCATAATTTGATTATATCTACACTGGTGTATTTTAATAAATCGAATACTTTTTTTGAAACTTTAACTTACCCATCGTAAAATAAAATGAAATAGATAAAGATACATTTTCATTATTCTCCAGTCGATGGCATAAATTTGTACATAGGTATAGTATTATATTAGGTATTAGTGAAATCACTAAATAATACCTACTGAGCTTATTTACCTAAAAATTCCTGAATAGTAAAAACCTAAATCTTCATCCTTATTACAGCCCATATAAAAGTACAAATTTATTTATTTCAATAGGTATAGCAATCATACTAGAAAGTCATAGCAATGACAGAGAAATAGAAAAGAAAAAGATTACTTCAAACCAAAGTTAAGAAATGGTATTGTTTCATCAATTTTATAGTAATAATGTGATTAATGGTTATGTGTTTTAAAACACAATTACATTTGGACGCATTCTTTCAATTAAATAATACATACTTCAAAAAATTTATTTGAAAAGTATGGTAAGTATAGAACGCAAAAATAATTTTTTAAAAGTTCAAAAAACTATACTTGTGGAAATACATTTTTTTTTTCAATTTCAACAATCTTTCAATCATCTCGAAATTTAAAAGTTTTTTTAATAAAAGTTTTTAAAAAGTGTAGAATACAAAGTTTTTGCTTACATTTTTTTACAAAAATAAAAAAATTCAAAGTTACGGGGATTTTCTTATATTATACATATTTTTGCATGATCTATATTTAATTTGATGTTTGTCAAAAAACGAAACAAAATAACAAACACGCCAAATTACATTCAAAGAATGAGACCAATTTAGTTTTCGATGTGTTCTTTTTGTTTTAATCTCATGTAGTTTTTGATGCGTCAGCAGTGAAGTTTGTCAGATACTACCGTTTTAGATATTGAATATAATTTATATTTACTTGATAATACGAGATTACATGTATGTCACTTAATTTTCTAATTAGCCAAACCTCAGCACTATTACAACTAAACACTATAAGTACCCGAAAATGTCCAATATTCACTTATGATGCATAATGTCCGAAATTGGTTTTGCTTCTTGATTTTACTACTATTTTGTTGTGAATTATATTGATAAGCACAAAACTCCAATTTTCCGATAACAGCGATTGAAAGTGCGCATGGTCCTGATAATTTCTTATCATACTATTCCAAAGTCCTGTATACAACCTCTCCAATCTCTATCATTAATAAATCAACAATATATCACGAATAATTGGTATTGATTTCCAATTATTCGGCATAACAGAATGCGTAGGAGCGAGGCGAAGACACAAACTGGTAATCCCATCTAATCTTATATCTATTACAATGTTGACTGCAACGGATTAATCCGATAGGGAATACAAACAATTTGTCACGCTTCCCATTGTGCGCACCCCTCGTATAATAACACATTTATCTGAATTACCGACACGCATCCATACATGCCAAATTCCCAACATCTGTTTTAAAACTTTTTGAATTATCGTTCCCGAAAAAAAATCCAGAAATAACAAACACATCTTGCGAGACCAACCGATTAGTTCCATGGTGACAAAATTACCCCAAACTGACCAAAACTGTGGTTTATTCCCTCTTGTAAAACCATTATAAACGGTCACTCACTCGAAAGTTCGTCGAACGAAAAATTGGTTCTTTTATTGGCCCCAACCCTTATTTGCCGGCACCTCCAATATTTCGCAACGTCTTAAACATTTATGACCGAAAACTGTACATTTTGCACAAATTTTTTCACCGTTAGGTCTTTTTTACAGCGTTTTTGCATAATTTCACGTAACGGGGACGGACCTAACGGTTCAATAAACGAAAATCGCTCGGAAAGCCAATAAAACCAATTAGCCGCAATAAATAAGGGCCGGATTGACTAAACGGCCGTCAAGCGGATTTAATAGAGCGTGAGTAACATAGCCTCACACACACGGATTCGGACATAATGGATCAATTTATCCTATTCAGTTGTGGGTGGTTGTGGAGATTCGAATGCCACATCTGTCATCGGACATTAATGGCGATTGTTATTGCTTCCGAATTTGACCATCGGACATTCAACGTTCGGACAATTAAATAGGAAGGATTCGCCGGCACGCTTCGAGGGGTGTCGTACATGTGTAGGCCCCTTCTCGTTTTGCACCAAACCTCTATTTATTTTATGTAAATAAACATACCTAAAGTTGTAAACTAAAAATCCTGGGTTCTATGTTTAAAAGTTACAGGTTGTTAAAG